TTTGAACTGCATGCACCTTAGTAACTTGATGAGCCTTTAACAATCCTGCACGCCTAGTTGTTATGATGATTTTACTTCCTGGATAAAACTGATCTTTCATTCCAAGCACCACATCTAATTGGCTAATATGATCCACATCGTCGAGAACAAGAAAAACCCTTTTAGAGCTTATCGCATCTTCTATCTCAGTCATTCCCTCACTAACACTGTGTATTTTTACTTCTCTCCCAATCAAAATATCAGAAAGAAGTTGTATTTGTATTTGAACTAGGCCATTAGGTTGCTGTGAAATTTCTCTAATGTTTTCGATGAAGCTGCTTCCTTCAAATCTTTCAAAGTTTGTATTATAAACATACTTTGCAATGGTTGTCTTCCCTATTCCACTCATGCCATAAATTACAAGTATGCCGACATCATCTGATCCATCTTGTAACCATAAATTAAGTTCGTGGACTCGAGAATGCATTCCGATCATGATTTGGGGAACATTTAGGGGTCTACGCCTTAGTTTTTCTCTTATCACTTGAACAATCTTGTTGATAAACTTTGACTCGTGTCTGAAAAGTTGCAATCCAAATGAAAAATATATATCAAACATCCTTGCAATAGTACAATTCGTCAACCCAACTTTGATTTGTTTGATTTGCTTAAATGAGAAATGAGTTAGACGTGTCATGCATGCATATGGAATTCTAAATATGTGTTCAATTTTGATTTTATTTTATTTATTAGTAACTCGTCGGAAGGAGTTATAAAAAAGAAAAAGTCCATTTTCAGTATTTCCACTTTAGAAAGAGACTTGTAAATAAAAGAAATGGTAGGAAAGAAATTACCCGTCAGCTTGATTTTGTAAGACCATCCCTGCCAGATCTGAAACCTCTGCAAGTGCCTCCCTCCATTCCTTCACTTTGTTCGACGGTTGGGTTGTTTTGTGTCTAACAAATGCCTTTGCAAGACTTCCTGTCTGCTTCCGCACATCGGATGGATCCACGTCGTAGAAGACAGGTAAAATGACATGGTCAGCTGAGATCCTCTTGCGTTCAAGGATCATGACGAGCTCGTCAAGGCACCATCTGGATGACGCATAGTTTTTCGAGAACACAATAACAGAAGTACTAGAGTGTTTGATTGCTTTCTGCAGTTCGGGCTTGATACCTTCTCCTCTCTCGACTTCATCATCGTCTCTGAAAGTGCGAAATCCAGCGTTAACAAGGGCCGTGTAGAGGTGGTCAGTGAAAGTCTTGCGAGTGTCTTGGCCTCTGAAACTCAGGAACACGTGATAACGACAATATCGACAAGTATAAGAAGAGGAGGTTTGCTGGGCTGCTCTCACAAGTGCCATGGATGAGGTGTTGTGAACAAGTAATCTGCCTTGATGGATTGTATAAACAAGCAGTTTGTGAATGACCAAATGAAAGGATCATCCATCCATTGACTTAAAGAGCAATTATTTTGAGTCAAGCAAATGAAATCATTATGTGTTTTTTTTTCTCTGTTTAAGATAAAAAAAGGGGGAAAGTAACAAAAGCAATCCAACTAGTGGGAGTTTTATTTGTCTTTGAATACATGCGCTTAAAAAGCAAGCACGTGAAATCAAGATAACTTTTTTTCTAAAAGGATGCACTAATATCGAGTGAGTAAAGGGGGCAGGCAGAGGTTTTTCGCTCGTTTTAAGATAAACAAAGCCAACTGGTGGCGACAGTTGTTGTCCTTATGCAATAAAATTTTATTATAACAATTAGGTGGCATGTTGCCTAAACATTTACCTCATAAAGAGACTAGGCAATGTAAGTATATAAATTATTATTATATTATTTACTTTATTTTTTACATTTATTATTATATTTTATAAAAAGTAAGAGACTGAGTGGAGATGATATTCTATTATAAACATATTCTTTTATTTTTAGTATGAAGAAAAGATAATATGTGTAGTTATGTTCCATAAAAATAAGATTTATTATCTGATTTTGTTTTTAATTTTAAAATTTTTTAATATGAAAAAATGTAAATTTACTATATTATCTTCATTTAATTAATAATTTCAATTCTTAATATTTGAATTAACCAAGGGCACTTTCTGGTATTTTGAATGTTTCACCATTCTTTGCCTTTTGCTTTATATATATATAGATAAAGTGGGATCCAATATGTACAAATTCACTTTGAAGTAGGCAATATTGAAAATATATATATTTTACTTACCCATTTGCCTCTTCTTCCGGAGCATGATAATGCTAATGTGGCAACGCAAATCCGGCGTTAACCAAGGCTATGTAGAGGTGGTTAGTGAAAGTGTTGCGAGTGTCTTCACCTCTAAAACCCAGAAACACGTACATGATAATGTTCACTTTCTTTATTTTCCCAAATAAAGGAGAAAAATAGAATACGAAGATATGACCATTTTAAAACTGTCAATAATTTGGTGTCTCTATCTACCATGATTGAAGTCTACGTTCATCATTGTACTGGGTTGTAGCCCCGGTAGCTTTTTGAAAAGCAAATAATTAAACCTATAAAGCAGCTTATTGTAGCTTTTTGAAAAGATAAAAAATATTAAACCTATATATAGCCCATGAAGTGACTGGGGCCCTCATGTTGTGTGGCTTCTTGGTAGTTTTCATCTAGCCACCACAATAATAAAGTATGAAATCAGGTGGCGTAACTTATATGATTTAATGTATACTTTTATTTTAAATAGTCCACTCGTCGAAAAATTCATAATTCTGTTTAGTATCATCACAAAGATGGATAATATAAAGAAAATGGGATTCCGTAACGTTTTTTCTTTCTATCATGATAGTCCTCCAAATTAACACCCAACATCAATTTGGGCCTTACTATTTGATTTTGCAAAGAATCTGTTAGATTACTGACATGGCATATCACCACCGCATGGATTGAATATATATATATATATATATATATATTGAAAAGCCATTTTTTAAGAAAATTAGGTGGTGCTTCTGGTTCTTTAAATTCTAATGATCAAAGTTAGATTATCATATAAGGGACAATCCACTGGAAAAAAGAAAAAGCAAACTTGATGTATCATTGCAAATTCGTCTTCTGGATCTGACTATATTCAAACCAAAATTCAGCTTTAGTTAATATCATGGTTATAACAGAGAGATAGGGTGCGGGTGGTGTCTGGAGTCGAAGCCTGTTGAAAATTCGTCCTAGAGTAGCTCCGCCGACTGGAACACTCGAGGAGCTCCTGTGGCGCGAGCTTGAATAGCATTTAGAAAATTACAAACAACAATGATTCGAAGGTCCAAATGCCTATAAATAGGCACTCAATGGAGATGAATAGATGAAGCTTTAGAAGAGCAATTCTATGGTTATTCTCTTCCTCTAAATTTTCCTAATTTTATAACATAAACAAAGTTAAGAAATAAGAAAGAACTAAAAGAATGATTTTGAATAAGAATTGGTAAACAATCAACCATAGCAGTGCTCAACAAGTGGTGGATTCCTTTTACAATTTAATATAACAAACCCTACACAGATGCTCAAAAGTGTCGCTCTCATGATGTAAAATGGAAAAAACGACTGAATAAATTGGGTTGGTTAACTTAATCCAAATAAGTACTTTAGTTTTACCAGCAATTACAGAAAAGCTATCTTAGGAGCTCTTTGTACAATTTCAACTCCAATTATACTCTCTAATTTAGAGAATAATAAATGCTTTGAATCTTTTTTAATTCAATTTTTAATTTTACAATAAATATTTATATTCAAATCATGAATATTGCCATGCCTCATAGCTAATAATTTGAATTCATCTTACTATGCAATTTGAAAGGCATTAATTGTAAGTTTAATTATTATTCAATTGATGTTCTATGTTTTCTTTTTTGAAATATTTTGTTCCAACGTCAAAATTTTCAACGTGTTCTCACAAAAAAAAACAAAAAAACAAAAAAAGGTGTTTGTGTTTAGGCGTATTAACTACATGAAATTAGCCAACGAAGTTTAGTTCAATGATAAATGACTTTTACTGTTACAGTTGTTCGGACTCTTTTTTTTTAGTTTCAATATGATGTAATTATCATTGGCTTTCTATTAATGATATCTGATTCCGAGAAACAACAAAAAGAGAAACAACCTTGATTGGTGGTTTGTTGGGGGTCTCTTTGCTCCTTCGGCTGTGCTCTTGCTCTCTGTTTTTTTCTTCGTTTTCCTTTTCTGTAGCTTTTCTCTTTCGGCTCCTCTTGAGCTGTTGTTTCCTCTTGTCTGTTTGTTTCTGTTGCCCGGTTTTTGGGCTTTTATGAAAGACATTTTCGACAAAAAAAAAACAATTTGACCAATATAGAGGGATAGTTTGCACACCAGTTTGGATAAAATTGGATGGATAGTTTCTAATTATAGAGGGAGATGTTCAAGTACATTATTCATTTTTATTTTTTGAATTGCATAGCATTAGCGAACACGTTGCTGCTTAATTTAAAGATTTTTTTTTTTGGTCGAAATATTTAGAGATTCCACACAGAATGAAAGGTTATGCATGGGGCAGAGAGGGAATCAGCATTTGGTGTGTTTGGGACTCTAGGATTTTAAATTGACAATTTTCATGTGTTTTTAGACGATTGAACCACAAGTGGTACACAACCAATCAAATCGATATTTTTTTACAAAATCCAAACGAACAACACACACTAGTAGGGATTAAAATTAGAAACTGCGACATTAACATCGATCTCGAAACCTCAAACTACCTAATTAGATGGGTAAATGTTTTGTTTGGTAAGAAAATGAATTGTAGCATGTCAAACTATAGGTTTGTTTAGTGAGGGTATAGTTTTGGATTATTGTGTACAAGTAATTAGCATAGGTGCCCGCACGATGACGCTATTGTTAAAACTATTTAATATATATAGAAAGTTGTAAAAATATATAGGAAACACAATATTATTTGCATACATGTGAAAGTTTAAGTTATAAAAGATAGATCAGTAACATGTTATGTAGGTGAAGTAGTGTTTAAAAAACTAGTACAACTATGGTAATACACTAAGATATACACTGATGGTGGTAGAACTTCTCTCTTCACTGGTTCTTGGTTTTTCATCGATGTCTTCAGGAAGGGTATTTTTCTTTTGTTGGCTTGGCTGCATAGGTGTTTTTTCTTCTTTCTTCTCATGTGCAGATATTTTCACTTCTCTGTTACAAAAACAATACAACAGAACCACAACGGTCGCGGTCACCAATTTCCAACTCAATGCCAATTTCGACGTTACTCAAGGATTGACGAATGTTCCGACTAGAAAGACCGAACCACAAAGATGATAATATAAAATAGACGAACACTTTGTTTCGCTTGAATGAGAAACCCATAAAAATTAGGGCTATATTTATGTGTTCTTCCTCAAATCAAATAAGGAATAACAGGGGCGCTCTCTCTTCAGTGTTATTGCTCTTCCTCAATCAAAGCTGACAAAAAAATTGGCCTCCTAATTGAACAAACTGAACAGCTGGATTGGAGGGGACATATGTTTTGGAGGGGATGTCTGTTTTCGACTAGACGTTTTGGAAGGAGGAGAGAGAAGAAGGCCTCGTTCTAATACAACACTTACAATTACAATTGCTTTTCACGCAGCCGTTAGATTAGATCCAAACGGTGTTCTCATGTAATGTTCTCATATAGGTGTTCTCACTAGATAACCGCCCTTTATTATCATGAGCCAATAACTAATTGGGCTGGCGTGTAGAATTTAGGCCCAAACAGTTAATGAAATTATTATTATTTATAATTAAAAAAAAAGTAGGAATGAAATTACCCATGAGCTTGATTTTGCAAGACCATCCCTGTCAGATCTGCAACCTCTGCAAGTCCCTCCCTCCATGCCTTCATCTTCTTCAGCGGTTGAGTTTTTTGGTGTCTAGCAAATGCCTTTGCAAGACTTCCTGTCTGCTTCCTTACATGGGATGGATCCACATCGTAGAAGACAGGCAAAACGACATGGCTAGCTGAGGTCCTCCTCTTGCGTTCAAGGATCATGACGAGCTCGTCAAGCCACCATGTGGACGAAGCGTAGTCTTTCGAAAATACAATATCAGTAGTTCGTGAGTGTTTGATTGCTTTCGAAAATACAAATGCACTTAAAAATAAATTATTTTTGGTAAAAGCACGCGAAATCAAGATGACTGTTTCGAGTGAGTAGAGGTTTTTCGCTGGTTTTAAGGTAAACAATTAGCGACACTGACAAGTTATTGTCCTCTGTTAATGACTAATGTTCACTTTCCAACGACTAGTTGTTCACTTTCTTTGTTTTCCCAAATAAAAGAGAAAAATACAATAAGACTTGGAAGATTCTGTCTTTTATGAAGATATATGGTCATTTTAGAAGTGTCAATCATTTGGTGTCTCTATCTAGCGTGAATGAAGTACATTCACTATTGTACTGTAATTTGGTGTTTCTAGTACCATCACAAAGATGGATAATATAAAGACAATGAGCTTTGAATATTCTCTATCTTTTTGGGTTATTTTCAAAAATGTTGTTTAAGATTTACAAAATTATCACCTTTAGTCCATAAGGTTTCTTTTTTCTATCATGATAGTCCTTCAAATTAACACCCAACATCAATTTGGCCCTTACCATTTGATTTTGCAAAAAATCTATTAGATTATTGACATGGCACACCGCATGGACTACACAAAATATATAATATATATATATATATATATTGAAAAGCAATTTTTTTAAAAATAAAAAATAAAAAATCGGGGGGTCTTCAGGTTCTTTAAATTTTAATGATCAAAGTTAGATTATCATATAAGGGACAATCCATTGGAGAAAAAAAACAAAAAAAGAAAAAAAAAGAAAAGCAAACTTGATGCATCATTGCAAATTCGTCTTCTTCTCGATCTTACTATTCAAAGCAAAATTCAGCTTTAGTTAAATGATGGTTATGACAGCGAGATGCGGTGTGGGTGTCGTGTTGGGGTCGGCATGAACTTGAATAGCGTTTAGAAAATATTACAATCAACAATGATTGGAAGGTCCAAAAAGTTAAAGAAATAATAGAAAGGATTTGAATAAGAATTTGGAAAAATTAACCACAGCAGATGCTCAAAAGTGTCGCTCTCATGGTTCCCATGTTCGATATAAGAGTCGATTATTACAACATGTAAAATGGAAAAATCGACTGAATACATTGGCTGAAAACAACTCAACCGGGCTGTGATCAAGTAGGAAAACTTCATCCATCCACAGCTTTTAGACTGTCCCTTCTTTCTGTGAGAGAGTAAAGAAGAGCGAGTGATATGAGAAGTGTGAGAAAGAAGCAAGCGGCGGTGATGAGCACTTTCCAGCCACGGAGGAGGCCTCTGGAGTTAATATTTCCGGCTGTCATGGCTGCTGCAATTGTTTGCTCATCCTGTTTCTCTTCTTCTTTGTCTGGAAAACATAGAAAAGAAATTAGAGGAATTGAAATGAATATGGACTAACCTGTGAACAATGAATGGTGGAGTAAAATGATCAAATGCGTCAACAAACAAGACACCTGTCGTATCTTCTTCATCAGAGTCCCCAAGGATCTTACTGAACCAAATCGGATCTTGTATGGATGCATTTCTGCGTGAGAGCAAGTGTACTCCTGGCACTCCTGGCACTCCTGGCAGATGAAGACCAATGGTTTGGTGTTGGGTACTTTGCACCGGTTTCACGAGCTGGATGCCAAACTCCTTTACCTGAAGCCAAGGTTCCATAATTACAGAAACAACCAGTTTATCGCCGACATCTACGTGAACCTCCTCCTCCAACTTCCAATGGCTTAACCATATCATGTCATCTCCCTCAGCTGGAATGCCGCAGTGTGATGGGGCATAGATTAACTTGATATCCTTACTCTTATTTGTGACTCTAGTAATCATTGGCCCGGGTAAAGCCCAAGGAGAATCATTGGCACATTTTGTATAGACACTAAAGACCTTCAAGCCTCCAATTCTGTGATTATCAAGTGAAGGAACAGTAAAAGATAATGAGGACCCTTTAGTTTTATGGATGAATTGGCCTGGAACCTCATTCCCAGCAAAAAATGTGCTGAATATACCACGCTCGTACAGTCCCTAATGTATAATATATGCCATGGAAATCACAATATTAATTAGTCAACTTTTATAATCATGAGAGAGAGAGAGAGAGAGAGAGAGAGAGAGAGAGAGAGAGAGAGAGAGAGAGAGAGAGAGAGCGAGCGACAGAGAGAGAGAGAGAGAGAGGGGTACCTGGACAGGACTCCATTCAGCAACAATTTGAGAATTGTATGGTTTTCGAATCCAAATTGGCGCCATGGATTCCAAGTTGCACAAGCCCAAAAGGTTGATCATGTCTACATCAACTCTTCCAATGGGTTCTAACTTGTAGTTATACTCCCACTCAACTAGTTTGTGGTTGTCATAGCCACTGGTAATGTGATATTGGAACCCAGAGGATTTATATGTTATTTTTTTCAATGATACACAACATTCCAGATCCAGATGATGTACTTTTGGTAACCCCACAAGCGATTCGAGATTTGCACAGCGGGAAAAAGAGAGATCAATGAGCCCCTCTAAACCTCCTATGCAATTTGGTAGACTACAAATTGGATTGTTCGCTAGATTTAGTCTTCGCAATGAGGATAGATTACTTAAATCCCTAGGAAAGACACCATCTAAAAGACTGCACCCCTCAAGACTTAAGTCTACTAAAGAGGATGGTAAACAACTCAAGATAGATAAACTTCTTCCCGGCCAGAATTCACCTAATGGTATTCTATCTATCCCGAGGACTTTCAGAGCCATGTTCCTCAACATCTCAATTGATAACAGATTAAGATTTGTGCAACCAGATACAATAAGTGTTTCAAGTGACTTTAGCATTACGATATTCTTTGGAAGCATCTTAAGATTTTTGCAGTTCCTCAAACTCAAGTAAACAAGTCTCTCTAGGCTTCCAATGGATTCATTGACACCAATCAGGCTTTCACAATCTACAAGAACCAATTTCTCAAGATTGGGGCAACATGAGAAGTCAGTAGTATTAGTAAGGCTATGAGAGTGGCTGAGATCAAGGATCTTCAATAACGGAAGACGCTGTGGGATAGAAAGTGTACAGGAGAAAACAATGTGGAGTTAGATGTTATAGATATATAATTTGTTATCAAAAGAAAATCCTAATGTAAAGGGAAAGAATTTGAAAAGTGAAGAGTTTAACGTACTTTTGTTCCTTCACAGATTTGTCTCAAGCCACTGCATTGCATTTCAAGAACAATTAGGCTCCCCAAAGGAAAATCAAAGGGTATAGAATCCAAAGAAAATTTTAGCCAACACATCCATCTTATTCCTGTACAAAATTCTGCATAACATCCGTCGAGTTGTACGTGACTAAGATGGAGTAGTTTCAGTTCTGGCATCCTTGCAAATGCGTTGGTTTCAATGACTTCCTCATTTGAGTTTATGAGACTCTGTGTAGGAAGCATATGCATGTCCAGGACAAGACCTTCAATTTTTCGTGTACCCTATAGAAGAAAGGGGAAAAACATTATTTTGGAAAGTATTTACAAGAAGAAAATTTAAATATGCTTACATAAAACACATGTTTTACATTCTTTTTGTCAGGATTTCGAAGGAATCCTGATGACGCCATACTCTACTACGCTTGCAAAGCTTCTCTGATTCTAGATGAACAATTTCTCTTCCCATTCCACGAATCAAGTCATGCATCTGCACCCTGTCATATTCATCAATTGTCACCAAACACCTATGGATGAGATATTCAATAGTGACAAGTGTATGGAAATCACATCCATCTAGTATTGTAACAATGCAATCTTTGTCCTTTCCAATAAAGAAACAAGCAATGTGGAGGAATAATTTTTTGTCATGGTCATCTTCCAAAGAGTCGTAGCTTACTCTTAGTTTCCTTATTATTTCACCATTTGGAATATCTTCTAACTTCTTCAGTGCACTTTTCCATATATATATACTTTTCCGAAATAGAGAAGAACCTAAAACTTTAAGAGCTAACGGAAGTCCTCCGCAATGGTCCACTAGCTTTTTTGAATATTCTGTGTAATCTTCAAGCGGATGGTCCTGGCCAAAAGCATGCCAACTTAAGAGCTCCAAAGATTCTATATGATCCAAAGTTTTAACAGCATGCACCTCAGTAATAAATTGATGAGCCTCTAACAATCCTCGATGCCTAGTTGTTACGATGATTTTACTTCCTGGACAAAATCGATCTTTCATCAGATGTACTGCATTTAATTGGTCCACATGATCTACATCATCGAGAACAAGGAGAACCCGTTTAGAACTTATGGCTTTTTCAATCTCAGTTATTCCTTGACTAACACCGTGTATTTTCACTTCTGTCCCATTCAAAATATCAGAAAGAAGTTGCGTTTGTATTTGAACTAAGCCATTGGGTTGCCGTGAAATTTCTTTGATGCTTTCAAGGAAGCTGCTTCCTTCGAAGTTTTGGAAGTTTGAGTTATAAACATGCTTTGCAATGGTTGTCTTCCCTATTCCACTTATCCCATATATTACAAGTATGCCAACATCATCAGTTGATCCATGCTGTAACCATAAGTTGATATTTTGCACTCGAGATTGCATTCCAATCATGTTGCGGTCAACATTTAAGGGTGTGCGACTCAGTTTTTCTCCGATTACCTTAACTATTTTCTTGATAAACTTTGCCTCGTACCTAAAGATTGCAGTCAAAATGAAAGAGAATTCAAACACATGTAATTTTTATACAGTAGAATTATAAAATACCATGGAAATAAGATCAGAAAGTTATACGTTCATGAAAGAACAAATTTAAATACAGTACAGAATCTACCAAATTTTATCCGGTAGTGTGTGCACTATAGTTGTGAATGGGATCAACTGACTAGGTGTAAAAGCTGGGCGGGGATCCGCTGTCCCGAAATTTGATGTCCTCAAATGTCGCTTCTTTATTTGCTTTACACATGTCCTTTTACTTGATTTCAAATCTAACGGCGTTAACTCTAATTTAAAACTAAAATGAAAACTAAAAATTAAACAAAAAACCCAAATCCCACCGCTGCCAAGACACGCCAACAACCGAAGGCAAGACAACCACCCCAACCCCATCGCTCAGAAATCGCTTCAAAGTTGCTATGACTGTGTTAGGTTAGCTTTTTTGCTACTTCGTTTTTTGGCTTCCTTGAACAACATTGTATTTGCAAAAGTAAAACCATTAAGCTCCAGTTTAGTCTATAGACTAGGTTGATGAAGGCTACTATGTCTGAGAAAAATCAAGCCTCAATGCTAATCAAACTCAAAGGTAAAATCATGCGTTGCATATATATTGAGACATGTCGTCAACATGATGACCATACATGTTACTGTAAACTCATTTAAAATTCTCACGTGAGACTTATACTTGGCTAGCTATAGATTTTCTGTTTAACGAATTTTGTCTTATTGCTCCAATCATTATCCGCCAACTGCATTTATATAACACCTAGTTTTTTGGGCTAAAAAAGGAGCTTTGGCATTGAGTAGCCGGCACTTTTGCTACAGAGGAATTTGAGAGCTTCTTCTTCTCTGCTTCTCTCACTGTGTAAGGTCTGTATTTTTCCAAAAATAAGATTTTCAAAATTTTCTTTGGTCTTTTGAAATCTCTATCTAGAGTATAGGTTACACCATATCATTCTAGCTAGATCATATTCTTTATTGATTTCTTTAAGAGGATGGTTTCTTGAAGAAATTGACATTTTTCTTTTTCAAAATCTATAGTTCATTCATTGATTCTATCCTGAGCTCAGTTGCGTTGCCATAAGGTGAAGAAGCTTATGGACTAGCTGTCATTTCCATGAAGAACATGTTGGAGAAGAATGTTGCACATTGAGGTAGTGCTCATATCCTTACTAACTAGATCTAGGTTTGCTTGAGCTTTTGATTATCTATTCTATAACAATCTTCTAGACTTAGTGGATTGCTTGATCAGAGCAACAACTCTCAGTTTTTCCCAGTGGTGGGTTTCTAAGTGAACATGTTTTTTGGCCTTAAAAACTTCTGAAGCTAAAGCTAAAGCTCAACTAAACATAAACACAAACCCTTAAAAACTAGATCAAGCAACTTAGATAACAAGTAAAAGAATATTCATTTAAAAAGGATGACATTTAAAACAATTAATTGCAGAAAAGCGAAAACTCATTACCATCGATAAAACATCTAATTTATAAATAAAAAATTGTGGAGATCGCTTGAGTTTTGAAAACACCTATTTTTAGTATAGTAGGAACGAAATTACCCATGAGCTTGATTTTGCAAGACCATCCCTGCCAGATCTGCAACCTTTGCAAGTGCATCCCTCCATTCCTTCACCTTCTCCAGCGGTTGAGTTTTTTCGTGTCTAGCAAATGCCTTTGCAAGACTTCCTGTCTGCTTCCTTACATGGGATGGATCCACGTCGTAGAAAACAGGTAAAACGACATGGTCATCTGAGGTCCTCTTGTGTTCAAGGATCACCACAAGCTCGTCGAGGCACCATCTGGATGACGCATAGTCTTTCGAAAACACAATAACAGAACTTCGAGAGTTTTTGATTGCTTTCTCCAGTTCGGGCTTAATCTCTTCTCCTCTCTCAAGCTCATCGTCGTCTCGGAAAGTGTGAAATCGGGCGTTGACCAAGGCTGTGTAGAGGTGGTCAGTGAAAGTCTTGCGAGTGTCTTCGCCTCTGAAACTCAGGAACACGTGATAAAGACAAAGTCGACGAGCATTAGAAGAGGAGGTTTGCTGAGCTGCTCTCACAAGTGCCATGGCTGAAGTGTGGTGAAGAAACAAACTCTCTGAGAGTGGATTTTACGTGTAAGGTTTTACTTCCGGGATTGTCTGAATACATGAACTTCAAAAGCAAGCACGTGAAATCAAGATACCTTTTTTCGAAAAGGATACACTAATATCAAGTGAGTCAAGGGGGCAGGCAGCGGTTTTTCGCTTGTTTTAAGGCAAACAAAGCTAATTGGTGGCAACCGTGACAAGTTGTTGTCCTTTCTTAATGACTCTTTCTTTGTTTTCCCAATAAAAGAGAAAAATAATGCATTCACTAATCATGGATTCGATTGGATATTCCTTAAATTTAAAGCATGTAAGTCTGACTATTTACCTCATGAAAATAGTTGGTCACTAGCAATGCAAGTGTACAAATTATTATTATATTATTTATTTTATATTTTATAGAAAGTATGTGAGAAAGTGGAGATGATATTTTATTATAAAAATAAAGTGGGATCCAATATGTACCTATTCACTTTAAAGTAAGCAATATTGAAAATACATATATTTTACTTACCCATTTGCCTCTTCCTTTGGAGCATGAAAATACTTATGTGACAATGCAAATTTGGCTCTTCCTTTTGGGATGCTTGGAAGAAATGAAAATTTTTTTTTTTTTTTTTTTTAAACAAATTGTAAGCAGAAGATAGATTACTCTCATAAATAAAACTTGTAAGTAATCCCTGAACATGAAAAATTATTCACCCATACCTTCATTTAAAAATAGTTGTACTTGAGCCCCTCCCCCTCCCATAGTGAATAGTAATGGCTGTATCTCAAATAAAAAACATAAGATTCTGTCTTTTATAAAAATATGGCCATTTTAAAACTGACAATAATTTGGTGTCTATCTAGCAAGCACACATGTACTGTCAGTAATTTGGTGTCTCTACCATCACAACATCACTGTTGGAGATGATAATATATAAAAGACTGAATATAATATTGCTCACAAGTGTTATATATGGACTATCCTTGTATCAGTGAAAGTCTTGCGAGTGTCTTCACCTCTAAAACTCATAAACATATACGTGATAATATTTTCCAAAATAAAGGAGACAAATAGAATATGAAGATATGGCCATTTTAAAACTGTCAATAATTTAGTGTGTCTATTTAGCATGATTGAAGTCTACATTCATCATTGTACTGGGCTGTAGCCTCGGTAACTTTTTGCAAAATCAAATAATTAAGGGAAATAGCTCTAAATGCCATCTTTTTATATATATAATTTTAACTTAAAATACCACCTCTCTCCAAAATTTTTGAAACTATCACCTATAAATATATATTTATTGTCCACCTATTGCACACATATCACTTTTGCTGAAGTTCTCTCTTATGAAGCAAAAGTTTACACTATGCAGCCACCAAAAGAGTATATACCCTATATCCTTTCTATAATTTATATGATTTAATGTATACTTTTATTTTAGCTAGCCCACCATCAAAAAATTCCTAATTCCACCTACATCACAAAGATGGATAATATAGAGACAATGGGATTTCCGTAAGGTTTTTTCTTTCTATCATGATAGTCCTCCAAATTAACACTCAACGTCAATTTGGCCCTTACTATTTGATTTTGCAAAAAACATGTTAGATTACTGACGTGGTACACTGCTGCGTGGACTATATATATATATATTATATTGTAAAGCCATTTAAAAAAATGAGGGGTGCTTCTTGTTCTTTAAATTCTAATCATCAAAATTAGATTATTATATATATATATAGAATATATATTTAAATGTGCTGAATATACCATATTCGTACAGTGCCTATATGTAAATATGCCATGGAAATCACAAATTAGTCGACTCTTTCCTATAATCTATGAGAGAGAGAGAGAGAAGCGCATACCCATTGAATAATATGAGTCTCATATCGGAAACTTGACTAAATAAAATAAAAAATATAATGAATGGTTCTATTACTAATAACACCAATGTATTTTGTGATAAAACCACACACCTACTGGGCTTTGTAGGTTGTTAAGCTGAGGACAATATCGGTGTTGTTAGTAGTGGGTCGTAGACCTGTCTCTCTGAAATTAACATGGTATCAGAGCGGGTCGATTAACATGGTGTCGATAAGGCCATGAGAAGGGCTGAGATCAAGGATCTTCAATGATGGAAGAACCTGTGAAGGAAAAAAAATGTAAAGATAGAAACAACATGGGACGTTAATTCTTATTGATACATAATTTGTCATCAAATTGAAAGAATAACATACTTTTGCCTCTTTGCAGACTTGCCTCAAGCTGCTATATTGCATTTCAAGAACAATCAGGCTCCTCTAATTTTAGGCGAACAATTTCTCTTCCCACATCCCGAATCATGTCATGCATTTGCACCTTGTTATATCCGTTGTCACTAAACATCCTATCAACAAGATTTTGAATGCCAACAATTGTATAGAAATCACATCCATCTAGTATTCTGACAATGTAATCTTTTTCCTTTTCGATAAAGAAACAGGCAATGTGGAGGAATAATTTTCGGTCATGGTCATCTTGTAAAGAATCGTAGCTTATTCTCAATTTATTCATGATTTCAACATTTGGAATAGCTTCCAACTTCTCAAATGCACTTTTCCATACACCAATACTTTCACCCAGTAGAGAAGAACCTAAAACTTTAAGAGCGAAGGGAAGTCCTCCACAATGGTACACTGCCTTTACTGAATATTCCAGGTAACCTTCAATGGGGTGGTCTTGGCCAAAAGCATACCACCTGAAGAGCTCTAAGGATTCATCGTAATCCAATGTTTCAACTTCAAGAACTTTAGTAACTTGATGACCCTTTAATAATCTTGAACGTCTACTTGTTATAACGATTTTACTTCCTGGGTAAAATCGATTTTTCATCCTAAGTACTACATCTAATTGGTCTATACATGATCCACATCATCTAGAACAAAAAACCTTTTAGAGCTTATGACATCTTCTATCTTTAGATATTCCCTCACTAACGCTGTGTATTTTCACTTTTATCCCATTTAGAATATCATAAAGAAGTTGTCTTCGTATTTTGACTAAGCCTTGGGTTTGTTGTGAAATTTCTCTGATATTTTCCCTTCAAATTTTCTAAAATTTGAATTATAAAGCAATTTTGCAATTGTTGTCTTCCCTATTCCACTCATCCCATAAATTACAAGTATGCCGACATCAGTTGATCCATCTTGTAACCATAGATTGATATCTTAGACTTCATACTGCATTCCAATCATAATAGGAGCAACACTAAAAGGTGTGCGACTTAGTTTCTCCCCAACTACTTTAACAATTTTCTTGATAAACTTTGACTCGTACCTAGAAAATTGCAATCAAAATAATGAAATAGAAATCAGATCTGTATGAGTTCATTTAAAAGAAAGAAAAAACATGTGCATATGATTCAAACAAAGCTTGGCTCTTAAGGAAGAGTTCCTCCTCAAAGCAAATGGGATTTTGACACTTTCAAATTTCAAAACAAAGAAAGTTAAAAGAATTTAAAAAAAAATTAAAAATGAAATTAATAAGTGTCAAAATCGCAATTGTTTTGAGGATGAGCACCTCCTCAGTTTTAAGGAGCCAAGCTTTTTCCAATAAAAAGTGTATGGAAAACAGGAGAAAGTTATAAGGTACACTTAAATTCTGATAGATTTAGATTGTTAAGACTATACTGGTCTAAGGGCAGAGTAGCGGGAATGAAATTACCAATTAGTGGACTGGTTGAAAGAGCAAAATGAAGTAAAAATAGAAACAACTGAAAATGAGATCATATACAATTACCCTACTATTAAGACTATTCATTGTAAACATGGTGTATTAATTTCAATTTCCTATGTATTCAAGTTGGCAAAGATATATATATTTCTCGATCTGGACTTATAGGAAAGAAGTTACCCATCAGCTTGATTTTGCAACACCATCCCAGCCAAATCTGCAATCTCTGTAAGTGCCGCCCTCCATCTGTTCACCTTGTTCCATGATTGAGTTTTCTGGTGTCTAGCAAATGCTTTTGCCAGACTTCCTGTCTAGTTCCTCACCTAGGATGGATCCACATCATAGAAGACCAGTAAAACGACATGATCACGATAAGTCCTTTTGCAGTCAAGGATCATCACAAGCTCATCAAGGGACCATCTGGACGAAGCGTAATCTTTTGAAAACACAATGACAGAACTTTGTGATTGTTGGATTGCTTTTTGCAGCTCCGGCTTGATATCTTCTCCTCTTTCGAGTTCATTGTTGTCCCGGAATGTACGAAACCCTGCATTAACCAGGGCTGTGTAGAGGTGGTCGGTAAAAGTCTTGCGAGTGTCTTCACCTCTGAAAACTCATGAACATGTGATAACTACTGCATCGATGAGAAGAACGACGCGAAGTATTGGAAGAGGAGGCCTCTCCTTGAGTTGTTCTTACGAGTGCCATGGTCCATGGATGCGAATGAAAAAATTTCACAAACAAACTGCCCTTTGCTGGTGTCCATAAGAGCTACGGTGGAAATTAAGACTAAACTTAATTACTGGTTTCCAAATGTACAGCTTCTTTGGATTCTGTAAACATCGATGAGAATAAATAAAAAAAAGCAAAGTAGCTCTCATTGATCAAATAAAAAAAATCATGTCTTTTGATAAAGATGGCCTTTTAATTTCTTTTGAAGAGCTTGACAACAAGAACTGTCAGGAAAACCTTACCCTACCCATATTATCACTTTTGATAAAGTTGAAGACAAGCGTTTGTTGATTATTTTGTGGTGGCAGAATGATAAGGATATTGCATGATGCATGTTGCGGTGGTAGGACAGCTTGTTCCTTTCTCGTTTCATCCAGACCAATTGGGAACCAAATTCCCCAAACAAACCATAGTTTGGACAAAATTGTATAGTTTTCTAATTATTGAGGCAAATCATGCCCTTATATCAGAATGAGTTCATTTAAAAGAATAAAAAAAACATGGGCATAGAGCCATAGACTACGGCTCAACACATGGAGGGGTGGAAATTCTGCTCCACCACACCACCAAAATTCCAATTTGCAGAGGGTATTAGATTGTGAATTGAATGAACATAAGACTTTACACGCTCTTATTTCCAAATCTTGAAGGAATGTACATCTGTTCAACCCACTGGGTAGGTTTGACAAACATAAATATATACTCAATTAAAAATAAATGACTCGGAATATGTTGGAGACAGCTCCTTAAGGCAAGGAAACACCACTATTAATCAGGTGGCTTTACAGGTGCTTCCATCCATTCAATTAGGTTTGGGGTATCACTAATTTGAATGTCTTCAAGACTGGAAACAAAAGCCCTTGTCTCCTTGCTCATAACTACTACATCATATCCATAAAACTTAGCTCCCGCACATTTTAAATTTATCCATCTATTAATCTCAAGGTGTCTGAGATTAAGTAGATGACTGAGAGTTGGAAACGACAAACTCATGATCATCCATGATGGAAATGTAGAAACCATGAAATTCTCCATCTCTAAAATTTCCAAATTAGGGTGTAGTTGGAGGCCTTCTAATACATTATCCTCCTTGTTGCTCCTTAGACTATTTGGGTCCCTTACAAATCTTCAAATGTATATGTTTGTCTTTCCCACTAAATTTTCTTTCAATGCTTCTTCTTCATGATGCACATATTCCCCAACCTCTCCCATTACTACAACTTTAGATAATATTTGGAGATTAGTTGGTCACCCCACACTAACGGAAATCTCATATGTCCATCAAACTAAATGTGCCTCAAGTTGATCAAATTTTGCAGTCTCTTTGGAAACTCAAGTGAGAAACAATGTCATCCTCAATGTTTGTAGATTACCAAAATTTTCCAAAAGAATTAAACAGTGCTTTGATACTGGCTCTAGAAACATCCAAATACCTCAAGTGTTTCAACATGATAGTTGAAATCTTTCATGAACATTGAGCAATATGCAAAACATTGTTTCATAGAAGGTTTAGTGACAATCTTGGTGATCCCCTAGGCGAAATGGAGTTTTGACAAACAACTCATCAAACTATTCCATTTTTGTTCATCTTTGTTCCAAATGTCATCAAGGACGACGACATATCTTTTCTCGGTCAGGTTCATTGTACACTAACCTATTCGAAGTTATCTTTCCTACACCACCCATTCCTACAATAACCAAAATACTTTCTTGACTGTTGGAGATAATCAAGGTTGCAACTATACTTGACACTTCCTCCTTTCTTCCGACGATGTATTCATCCTTACCAAAGAATGAGTTGCTTTCTATGTCCTCTATTGCTTGAAGGGTTGCATCTTTGTGTTTTTTCTTATCAACTAGTCCAATGAAAGATGCCTCACTCACCAAAGATGCGTTCATAGACTTCCTCCTATGTTCCATTTTCTGACGAAACAAAGTGGGATCGGAGGCAGAAAGAAAGATTAGTACCTTTTTCTTTGTATAGTTCTCAAATTCTACTTTATGCCGAAGAACTTCACAATTGATTTCATCCAACACATCTTCTCCATCAAAAGCTACGCCTTTAAGATTCTTCACCCACTGATCAAAACAGAGAGAGCCAAATTCTGAATTAGTACTCTGGGAATTTTCTGATCCTCTTAAACATGAATCTCTTCTAATTATGAGTAGATCTATAATAAGCAGGCACTAAGCTCAATAGAAATTAGGAATAACATATAAGCATAGATTCACTTCCACACAGGCTGTAAGGGCTTGGCCGAATAAATATAGATTGCTTACCGGCTTACATGGCTTTGATCAAGGCTATGGAGCGGTGGTCGGTAAAAGTCTTCCAAGTATCTTCGCCTCTGAAACTCAAGAAGATATGATAATTACTACATCCATGAAAATTTGAAGTAATATTTCCTCTCTCACTGATCGGTTGTTGGTTGCTCTGAGCTGGCTGCAGGGTGGAGTGGTGATAGTGAGACTAACGGCGATTATCTTTCCATATGCTCCAAGGTTCTGTATTTATCTCTCTCTCTCTCTCTCTCTCTCTCTCTCTCTCTCTCTCTCTCGCTTGTTTGGGCTTTTTTCGGAGTTCAATCTTTCTCCGATTGGGCTTTTGCCACCGACAATGTTTCCTTTTCTTTTGTCCGAGCATTGAGAAATTCGAACGCAACTTTGTTAATTTAAATTTAAAAGTAAACAATTATTTGTTATTAATATTGAAAAAAGAAAATCACGAGGTGTGATGCGGTTGACATAGGGATGGCAACGGGCTAGGTAAGGGCCGGGTATAGCAATACAATCCTCGTCCCCGCTCCTCATTCCAGTACCCGTCCCATCCCTAATAATAAATTTTTGGGGAATCCCCGTCTCGTCCTTATCAGGGAACTATCACCCAAACTCGCCCCAAATTTCCGATTTTATTTTTCAGATTTTGATTTATGTTCAACCAAAATCGCACATGCTTCTTCTTCTCTTGGCTAGAATGGAATGGAAATTATTAAATATATGTATCTAATTATAACTCAAAATGTCTTGGTGCGCTATTGGTGAACTTGTGGCTGTTGAGATTGGAGAGCTTAGGGATTCGAACCTCCTGCCTAAATCTAATATTTTTTTAAGGGTATTTTATATTATATATCTATTAATTGAAAATTTAACATATAATATTGTGCCAAGTTCGGGAACGAGGATACAATTACCATCCCCGGCCCTTATCCATCGGGGATTTTTAAAATTCGAGGATCCCCATACCCTAAATCCCTAGTTAGCAAACTGCTACCTCCAGTTGGCGAGCTACCTAGTGCCTCAATAGCAAGGGTTTGAAACCTATTGGAAGTACTTTGTGACTAGGGGCAAGCCGAACTCCGAGCGGGGATTAATCACATCATTTGGGTGTGGGGACACCTCGTGGTATTTACCCCAAAAAAAAATTTATATTAAATCTAATATTTTTTAAGGGTATTTTATATTATATATCTATTAATTGAAAATTTAACATATAATATTGTGCTAGGTTCGGGAACGAGGATACAATTACCATCCCCGGCCCTTATCCGTCAGGGATTTTTAAAATTCGAGTATCCCCATACCCTAAATCCCTAGTTAGAAAACTGCCACCTCCAGCTAGCGAGCTACCTGGTGCCTCAATGGCAGGGGTTCGAAACCTGTTGGAAGCACTTTGTGACTAAGGGGCAAGCTGAACTCCGAGCGGGGATTAATTCCATCATTCGGGTGTGGGGACACCTCGTGATATTTACTATAAAAAAAGAAAAAAAGAAATACCACTAAAAAGATATATCATTCAATCTCAAATACTTAAATCAAAAATTGTGTTTTTTGTCATCCGATAAAATTAAAAAAAATTCTTAGCTTTCCAACTAATATTACAATACATCTTTATTTTCAATCATTAGGGGATAAGGTTTCGAATTGGTTGGGACCTCTTTTAACATTGAGAAAGAAGCATCACTAGACTACTCCTTTTAAAATTGCTAAAATCACTTATGTAAGCATTTGGCATAAAAACTTAAAAGTGATTATACATCATGAAGCAACTTTCTATGCTTTTCTAGGAGGTATTTAAATTTATTTTTTTTTAAAACATTTTATGAGCATAAATGTTTCCAATAAAAGTAGCCACAAACAAACCCTAACACCTTACAATAGTTCATTTTACTCATTTGGACCTATCTCACTTGTTTATACCAAGTAAGAAACTATCATATCAAATTTTACATTACTAAATAAATAAAAGGTGAGATAATTAACTAGATAGATTACATAAACTATGTGTGACTATTAGTAAAATAAAAACAAGTAGAAAATAAGTTAAAGAAAGATCACAGTAAGTTGGAAAACAACAGGTGTGTAACACGACATGTGGACTTTTAGATTCCCAATACACTAATTTTAAAGTAAATTTAGGTTTTAGCCACACAAAAATTTCACTTTCGGAAAAAGCCAAAACATTTCCAAAAAGACAGAAAAACCCCTCAACTTTCAAGCAAAAAACATGCAAATGTAAAAGATTCCTTAGGAAATCCAAAAATAATAAGGGCATTTTTGTCTATTTTGGCTTTTTTAAAGGATTGGACAACCAGACTGAACTGCATTGATAAGGCCAGAACCAGACATTGACTGACCTAATCGAAGAGCACTTCAACCGACCACAATCGATTCACAGAGAAATCGGTTCAATCCGATTGATTTCAACAAGCACCAACAACAAAGGGGGGAGAGGGAGAGAGAGAGAAAGAGATATATATATATATATATATAACTTAGGCTAATTCGATTTGGTTAAACCGTCGATTTTCAAGTTTTAAACCAGCTTAGGTTGATTTAGTTCAATTTTCAAACTAATTTTAAACCACTAAACCTAACCCTAGTTTTACTAATAAGTTTGTAAATGAACTAAATATTTACTTGATGTGAGGATCTACTAGTGAAAAACAAAAAAACAAAAAGTATTTCTTATGAGTGTAGGGGTCTTTTTGTTCCAGCAGCCTGACAAATGGGCTTGGGCTGCCGTAAGAAGAAAACGAACAGAAATTCCCCAAGTATCAGAGTTTAGAGACCAGGCTCCCAAAAGAGTTTTTGAAGAGCTTGATGCGACTCTAGAAAAATACTCTCAGATTCTTTTCACCAATAGCCAAATAAACATGATAGATTAATTAATGGCTTAGCATGAGAAGCTTGTGGCATGGGAGCAAAACCATCATGAGTTTAGCATGAACAGAGAGAAATAAGCTTGAGTTTCTTACAGTGAACAAAAGGTTAAAGTGGAACAGAGGAAGATTAGACAGATTTCTTTCTTAGAGAAATGAGAAAACAAATAAGGAAGAAGATTGGGTGGCTTTAGCAAAATTCCCAGTTTGCTTGACAAAGCTTGGTCAGGCTCTGGAGGATGATTTTCTGAGTAAAAGAAGCTCTCTTTTATAGGTTTGAAGAACCCTAATTTCGTCTAACTTTTCCTTTCCCTTTTCATCGTTTCTTCCTACTTGATCTAATTTGGTGAAATTCTCCTATCCAAGGTGCATAGGTAAGGAACCCTTTATGGTTCCAAGAGTTTGACGCAGCTGGACCTCCCCATGAGGGTGAGGTGCCTCTTGCTTTCCTCCTTGGTTTTCCAAGTGAAGTTGGTAATGGAAAAGAAGATGGGTAGAGCTTTTTGTCCGATGGGTATCCTTCTTGCTCGTATGAATTTCCTTTGGTTTTATGTTGGCTCATGTTGACTCTGTCATAGAACTTTGGGCAAAGGCTGAACACGCTTGCTAGATATTTTGTAGAGCACTGGGCTGGCTTTTCCCAAGGTTTTGGGTCAGTGATACTCTATTCTACAATCACCAGTTAGCTTGTTTTCGTCCAGTTGCTGGAAGCAGTTTGCCTGTTGCATTTTTAACAAAGTATTTGGATGCTCTAACTAACATAGGGTTTCCTAAGCAAATGTATTCTCTAAGGCATTGGGTCATGTTCTCTCTCTCTCTCTCTCTCTCTCTCTCTCTCTCTCTCTCTCTCTCTCTCTCTCATGTATTTGGGCCCAAGAAATGAGCTTAAGTTTTGGGGCTCCCAAGCAGCCCAAAACTTCCATTTCTTGGCTCATCAATGGGCCTCATGAAAGCTTGTTACCATCCATACCACAACCCACTCAAGCAAGCCCCATGCATTTGCGTGGCTTGGGCCCACTTAAGCTTGTAGCGTGGTTGGGTGTGAAATAATAATTTCTTGCTTAGCATGGCATGTCAATCGGCGTGTTTTAATTTTATCGTCCTTGAATAGAGGCATGATGCTTGATGGGGTAATTAGCATGGATTCGAAGAGTTAGTGCTTATTTCAACTCTTAGCATGAGAGATTGTATATTTATTTGGCATGGCATGTGATTGTGGCTTGTGCAAGCATGAATGAGGAATTTTGCATGCTCCAAACCGAGTATTTTTCTTAATAAAGCATTATGTTGGGCCGAGAATTATTTAGGCCCAATCCTGGATTTTTGGGCCTCAACAATGAGATATGTTTTTCAACAAATTGTATGTGAATGTTAATTGAAAAGAAAATAGTCTAGAGGTTTTTAATGTTTTAAGAAATTTTCAATATTATTTTGCAATTTACAAGTTTTAATTAATAAATAAATATATTATTATTATTATTATACAATTTGCTTTTGGTAAATAAAATGAAATGTCATTAAACGTTGCTAAATTCTAATTTGTTGCATATAAATTCTCAAAAAACAAAAATCGTTGCATATAAATACTCAAAAAACAAAAATCGCTGCATATAAATAGCTACATCCAGTGTTTGTGGCGGCCAAGATTAAAGACCTAGTTCATCCATGGCCTGCACAATCGATTTCCGCCGCCTAGACGAAGGCTTCGGCGGCAAAACCTACAAGCGCAAGAGAAACCCCGAACCCACCGCCAACGAAGATGCTTCAGTGTTTGGCTCTGTCGGTGCTGCAATGGAAATCGACGACGCGTGTTTACCTCCGTCAAAGCGGTCGGCGGTACCCTCGTCAGACAATCCCGACAAGCCGAGCTTCGGGAAGCCGAGCTACGACGGCGTGATCGCCGGGAGAGTCTCCGGCCGGAAGTGGAAGCAGCCGAGGAAGCAGAGGGCGTCGGCGACGCAGGTTAGCCATAAGGGGACGACTTTCGAGGAGAGAGCGAAGGAGAAGGAGATAAAGCGGGCGTACAGAGAGAGAATGGCGGAGCTGAAGGGCGAGATCAAGAAGAACAAGGAGGAGAAGAGGAAGAAGAAAGAGGAGAGGGATAAGAAGAAGCAGGAGAACATCTTGAGGTCCGGGACCAAGCTGCAGGTGATTTCGAATCCGAAGACGCTGAAGAAGATTGCCAAGAGCAAGGACCGGAAGCTGCTCAAGGTTGTTCCTGATGATTTGATCAACAAGAACAAGACGAAGAAGAAGAACAGCAACGACGACTAGAATAGTCAGTTTTTAATTTCTTTTTGCTTTTTATGTTTAGGATTGGATTCAATTTTGATCCTTTTTTGTCTGTTGTTGGAGACAATGAGTTGTTGTGCTATGTGTCAAGAGAAATATATGGTAATTCAGAGTTGCTATGCTTCAAATATAATTTTTTTTGTCTGTGAAATCTCTCATTTTCCTCAAATTTTGCACTTCACTTTAATGGGCAGATTAGTATCTCTAGCAAGCTTGGTATTTTCTTTTCAAGTTGATATGATCAATGGAAGGCAAGGCAGAGATTGTGTTGTGTGGGTTTTGTGCTAGGGTTGATACATTGGTGTTTTGTCTCAAAGTTTCAAACCATATGTGCAATATGTATGTATTTTGTTTGTGGATTTTACCCCATATTATTCCCTGATATATTGCATAAACTTGTATCTCTGTTTATTTAGCACCAAATGTGTATGAATTTAAGAGACTACATGCATTAGAATTGTGAGGGAATAAGGTAGGGGAGCTCTATCATTAGGAATTATAATTCAAGTGAATAAGTTCTTCAATCTATGACTTTTAGCTTTAGAAGTCGAATACTGGTCCCTTGCTCTTCTTGGCTCTGGGCTTAGCTTTTTCAGTTAAGTTATTGTTAAAGCACAGCCAAAAGTGTAAAGGAAAAAAGAAGTGAGTAATCCAAGTGAAAGGAAGGGTAGGATATGTGTAGTTGTGGATATTCAGATGCATATGTATGCTAATTTGAGATGGTATGAAGAATCTGGAGTGTCATCAAGCAGTGCTAAAAGGTGTATTCTTTGTATGCTGTGCTTGTGAGTTAACATGGCTCTTATAGTATCTGTGAAATGGTTTTGTCATTTTTTTTGGTTCATTCTGGAATTGAATATTGTTGTCAAAAATATTTCACCATACAGCTGACAGAATGATTTATAGATTTTCGACTACTACAATTGCATTAGCATTTCACATTGGATGAAAATTCTTACCTTATTGATGTTCATTCTATAACCTTTTCTCTATGTAAGTTTTTCTCTTCATCTGAATATTCAGGAGGGCCAATTCATGGGCAAATGATAAATCTACCGTTTTATTGTTTTTAATTTAATAAAATTCTTTTGCTTTTTGGTTGATGTTCACAACTCTTGAGCAGTTCTTGCTTCAAAAAACATTCTCAAGTTCAAATAGATTAACCTGTGTCTATGTTGCGGTTCTTCTTTTTCCTTGCCCCTTCTCTTTAGCTCTGTCATGTTCTAATGCTATGGTCATACCAGAGAGGTTGTCTGAGAGCCAGTTAGGTTTTTATTCGTCAGTCTAGCATGTTCGTCGGATTGGATTACCTCATACGACGAACTTTGGATTCTCTAATGGAACTACAAGAGGCACAACCTTGTATTGCTGATCTATGGTTAGCTTGTTGTAGCACGACAATGGATTTATATATTATTATGGTGCATTAGTATTGCCTTATCAGCCCCTGTTTTCCTGTTGTTGGCGTCGTGCTACTTTTGTCGTTAACAAGTTTCACTTGGAAAGAACCTCTCTATTGCTCAAGCAACAGATAGAAATGGTGTACCTATGCATTACTTTTACCATACTACTATATTTATTCGGCCAATCAAATTAAGAATTTTCTTGTAGAGGAGAGAAAAAAGGGTAAAGGATTAAGATTTTTGTTTCAGTCATTTGATTTGCAAAGACCCTGTTGAGTTTCTTCGATTGAAAACCTTGGTTTGTATGCTGAAATATCTGTTTGGTTTTTATGCTCAACTCCGCATTTTAGATTGTCATCCTCTCGCTGACCAAAATGCTGGAACAATCAAATGACCAGCTTCGTCTGAGTTCTTCACCCAACTAAAAAGCACACACCAGGGCTGTCTTTTAAAGCCTTCTGAATTTACAAATAACACTTGGATTTATGCATCTAAAAGATTGTGACCTTCAAATATCTTGCAAACGCAATCATTACAAACAAGATTTACTGCATATTGCCAAATTTCCAATATCTGGTACATAATTTTTTCCAGGCAATCCAACTGCATGACTCACATTCATAATTTCGCTATGAAGCACTGAGGGTCAGTGGTTGACAGGAACTGATTATGTGGTGCTGAATCTAGAGAACGGAAGACGGAGATCTGAATTTCCCGCTTCATCTTTCACTGTAAACTGGGGATAAAACATCTGCATTATATTAGAAATAGACTAAAAAGTGGGATATATATCAACACAGAGAGAGAGAGAGAGAGAGAGAGAGAGAGGACGACGATATCACTCATCTTAAATATGTTATATATGCATATGCTAGCAACATGTGACAGCCAAATGGAGACGTGGATAAAAAGACAAAAGCATTAAGGCAGGAAACTTACGCTGGCTGTTAGGGGTGTACAAAATTCAATCAAATCTGCCTAAATTTACCGATCCAATTCCATTCAATCTAATTTTAATTGGTTTCGATGATTTGGTGGATTGAATTGGATCCGTAATTTTTAAAATCGACATGATTGAATCGGATGACGAATTGGCTTATGAGAATCCAATCCAATCCAATATAGTTAGTTTTATGCTTATTTTGCTCTTGTAGATATTTGTAGTCGAAAATGTTATGAATATTTTAAGTTATTTAATGAAGTTATGTTAATATATATAATATAATAAAAACAAATTTTTTTCTAGTATTTCATTTATATTTACATTTACGTCTATTAATTCGTTTGATTAGATTAAACCTAAGGATAAATATTTAATATTTCATTATTGTCTTTTTTCATTATTGTCTTTTCCATTATCAAAATCGATCATCCAATCCAATATCAATTGGATCGGATCGGATTGGATTTAAACATCTAATGTGATCGAATTGAAAAAAAAATCACAATCCAATCTATATTGGATCAAATATAAATTGACTAAATTGTATTGATTTCGAACTGACGTACGCCCACGAGCTTATTGTATCAGCTGAGAATATATGTATTCATCAACCCTCTGCTTTGCCAGTGCCACCTGGTACACAACCAAAGATTTTGTGTGAATGAAAAGTATATATTGTAAATAAATAAATAAAATACCAGCACACTTTTCTCGACTAAGCAACCTGAGCCTTTTCAAATTACAAAGTTTGCATTTCAAGTTTTATTTAACTTGTTGGTTATGTTTTTGGTAGTGAGTTCTTATTTAGTTAGAATTTTGGTTTTCTACTATGTTAGGATTTTGGTTACTTACTTATTTATTTAGTCGACCTATTGTAATTGAGATTTATTTCCTATTGTATAGGTTAACACATCTGAGCATATCTGAATATATATGAGAATTCCCATACACTTTGTTTGACATGGTATAAGAGACTTAGTTTTCTTGTGACATATGCTTGCATTCTTCTTACAATTTAAGTGTTCTAGAGGGAAGGGAGAGTGAAAAGGATATGTTTCTATTTCCCGTGAAGATATTGCCTATTTTTCAATTGTGATAACCTATTCTCCTCTTTTCAGGGGGAAAATGGGAGTGAAGAGTAGTTGAGTGTGCGTGAATTAGGTAAAGTAGATATGGTGGACTTCTCATTCATTTTGGATGTTGTTGTCGTTGTCGTTGTCGTGGCTGCTACTGCCGCAATTGAAGTTGCCTTTGCCTTTGCTTGCTTCACTTTTCGTTGATGTGGTCATTATCATTGTTGTTGTTGTGGTTGTGCCCTTTACCTTTGCTCTTGCCTTGCTTTGCTTTGCATTGCATTTGCCATGTTCACAAGGTTTTTGTGTTCTTTGCCCTGTTCACAGGGTTTCTGTGTTCTTTGCCTTGCCCTTGCCATGTGTCATATGGTTTCTGTGTTCTGCCATGTTCTAATGTGTGTTCTATTTTTTAGGGTTTATGTGTTCTACCATGTACCTTATTTTTTAGCGTTTGCTCTTGTGTTTCTGCTGCAAACTTTCCTTTAGTTTTTCAGTTATTTCACTCGTGACTGATGAAAGACCTTCTCTACAAGTTGTTCGATTGGTCAATATCGAGTATGGTGCTCTACGACTTGCTTGTCAAGTTGAGCATGTGGACATCTTTACGCCAACTTGAGGTGAAGTGTTGGTGAGTTCTTATTTAGTTAGGATTTTGGTCCCTTACTATGTTAGGATTTTGGTTACTTACCTATTTATTTATTCCTATTGAAATTGAGATTTATTTCCTATATTTATTTAGATAAATGACAAACTGCAATCCACCAGTCAGTCTTCGCGTCGAACATAAGCATATGTCTGCTCCATGGTGGGGAACAAAGTCATCTAAAGGACATCGCTTTGAGCCTTGTCAAGTCGGTCATCCAAGCCATCCAAGAAGACATAAACACAGTCTTCTTGGAGAATGTCATTATACTATTGGATATTAGAATCACACTTGATCCTATTCGGACGACGGAAGTTGATTTCTTTCCACAAGCCTTGGAGGATCATTGTAGTAAGTTTTAATTGAGCAACCTGCTTGTCGTAGTTGGTGAGTTCGCTGTTTAAGGTCATACATCTTAGAGGTGTCAATGCCAGCAAAGTAAGTCATAACAATCGCATCTCATACTGCTTTTGTAGTTGTAAATCGAATAAAATTGCTAATTAATTGAGGCTCCAAAGAATTGATTAGACAACCTTTCACATTCGCATTCTCAGTACGCCAACGAGTTGAAACTCAGGTAGGTCGGAGTAGGAGGTGGAAGTTCACCAATGAGGTATCCTAACTTGTCTTTACCGGCGACATACATCTCGACAACTTAGGACTAAAGAGGGTAGTAGGAGCCATCCAACTTGATGCCAATCTGTGCAGCAAAAGCTTCAAAGGTAATAGTCGACGTCGGGGTTGAGGTCTATGTCTGAGTCGAGGTTCGGAGTCGAGTTCGAGGTCATGTTTACGGTCGAGTTTAGGGTTGCGTTCTGGTTTTGTATTATGAAGAATTAGGCCATATGAGTGGCCAGTTCTGCGAAGGTCGGTTAAGAAGGTGAAGCAGATTTGGTGGTGCTTCCTTCATAGGAGACGAAGAAATCATCCTCCCCCCATACGGCTGCAAGGATTTGAAACTAAAGTTTGCAATTCCAAGATCACTGCTCCTATACCATGTTAAAATATGAAACCTATGAGAGAATATTGTTTGTGGAAATTTTCTGTGCATTCTTCTCCTTGTGGAGAAGTGAAACAATCGAAGAACATGGAGAAATTTATCAGAGGGCCGCACTGGTGTGTTGGTGAAACCAAAGAAGAGACTTCCATATTTATAGTACAATAAATCATTGTAGGTCAAGGAAAATAATAATTTCTAATTCTATTTAGAGTAGGATATCAAGAATTAAAGAAAATCAATTACATTTAATATGGGAATCCTTGGTGTGCAAGGAAAGTAAATGCAGGTCCACAAGTCATACCAACAAGGTTGCCGTTTAGATGTTCAAAAAAGTCATCCATGACTTTTTGACTGTCGCTTCTTGCTGTGTGAGCGAGACGACCGTGTAATTAGAGAAAGCATGAGAAAGAAACATGATGCGGTGATGAGCAGCTTCCAGCCATGGAGGCCACCAGAGTGGTTGCTGGTTGCCATTGCAGCAATTGTGAGATCATCCCCTTGTTGTTCTTCTTCGTCTGGAAAACATACAAAATAACATAAAATCCCAACATAAAAGAGGAAACTTCTTTTTGGAATAAATATGGACATATGTGAGGGTAAATACGGACATAATAGGGGTGTCATTGTTTCGTTTTTTTAGTTTTTTTTGGAAAGAGTTGGAGTAAAATAATTAAATGCGTTAATAAGCAACACACCTGTCGTATCTCCATCAGGGTCCCCAAGGAGCTTCTGTAGCCATATCGGATCTCGTATTCGTACACTCGTACCGGAGAGCAAGTATACTCCTGGCTCATATTGACGCAAATCTCCACTCCTGACACATGGATAATAAGAATCTGTGGAAATAGCCATCATATTATAATTCTCTTCTTGCACCTGCACAAGCTGGATGCCAAACTCCTTCACCTGAAAGCAAGGTTGCATAATTACTGAAACAACCACTTGATCGCCACCTTCTAAGTGAACTATCTCCCCCAACGTCCAGTGGCTTAACCATATCATGTCTTCTCCTTCACCTGGAACACCGAAGCATATTGGGCCGTAGATCCACTTCAGACCCTTGCTCTTATTTTTTACTCTAGTAATTATTGGCCCGGGTAAACCTTCAGGAAGATCATTGACATATTTTGTATAGACAACGTAACGTAGACCTTCAAGCCTCGGATTCTGTGATTTGGAAGTGAAGGCACAGTTAAAGAGATCGAGGACTTTGTACTTTTATGGCTAAACTGGCCTGGAACCTCATTCCCGACAAAAAATGTGCTGAATATACCCCATTCATACAGTCCCTGTATATAATGCAATGGAAAAGACAATGTTAATTAATCCTCTTTCCAATGATCGTATGAGAGAAAGAGAGGGAGAGGGGTGCACCTGGACTGGACTGCAATCATCCTTTCGTGACCCCCAACCTGAGCTGTGCATTTGAATGGGTGCCATGGATTCCACGTTGCACAAGCCCAAAAGGTTGATTATTTCTACATCAACTCTTCCAATGGGTTCTAGCCTGTACCTGTACTCCCATTCAACTAGGTTGCGGTTGTCATAAAAAATGCTATCCCCCTTACAGAAGGAATTAGATTGATATGTTATTTTTTCTAATGATATGCAACCTACCACAACCAATTCGCCTAGTTTTGGTAACCCAAGAAGCGATTTGAGACTCCTACACCATGCAAAAGAGAGTGTATCGAGCCTCTTTAAACCTTTGATGAAATATGGCAGGCTACAAATTGGATTATTACCTAGATGTAGACTTTGCAATGAGGATAGATTACTAAACTCCCTGGTAAAGGCATCATCCGAAATATTGCACCCGCAAAGATTCAAGTCTACTAAAGAGCATGGTAAAGAACTCAAGATACATGAACTTCTTCCTGGCCATAATTCACCTATTGGAATTCCATCTGTCTCGAGCACTTTCAGAGATTCCATACTCCTCAACATCTCAATTGGTAACTCAAGATTTATGCAACCAGATATAATAAGTGCTTCAAGTAATTTTAGCATGAACATGTTCTCTGGAAGTATCCTAAGATTTTTGCAATCCTTCATATTCAAGTAAACAAGTCTCTCAAGGTTTCCAATGGATCCATGGACACAAATCAGGCTCACACAATCTACAAGAATCAGTTTCTCTAGATTTGGGCAAAATGAGAAGTCAATAGTTTCTGTAAGGGAATGAGAATGGCTGAGATCAAGGATCTTCAATAACAGAAGACACTGTGGGGAAAAAATGTAAATAAGAAAACAATGTGGGGAGTTAGTTGTTATAGATATATGAACTTGTTATCAAGCTAAAAGCTTAATGAAAATGAAAGAGGAATTGAAAAGTGTGGAGTAACATACTTTCGTTCCTTCAAAGACTTGTCTCAAGCTGCTATATTGCATTTCAAGAACAATTAGGCTCCCCAAAGGAAAATCAGTGGGTATAGAATCCAAGGGAAACTTAAGCCAACACAACCATCGTAATCCTGTACAAAATTGTGCATAAGATCCGTCAAGTTGCACATGACTAAGATGGAGGAGCTTTAGTTTGTGCATCCTTGCAAAAGCATTGGTTTCTAAAACCTTCTCCTTTGAGTTTGTGGGATTGTTTGTATGGCTCATATGCACGTCCAAGACAAGACCTTCAATTGTTTTTGAACCCTACCAAAAAAAAAAGAAAAAAGGGGGAAGACACATTTGGAAAATATTTATAAGAAAAACATATGTGTGCGCACATGTCATGTTTCTTACTTTCTTTTCTGTCAAGATTTTGAAAGAATCCTTATGTTGCCATATTCTACTACGCTTCCAAGGCTCCTCTGATTCTTGAAGAACAATATCTTTTCCCATTGCACGAATCATGTCATGCATCTGCACCTTCTCACGTTCATCAATTGTCACTAAACACCTATCGGTGAGATTTTGAATGCCAACAATTGTATAGAAATCGCATCCATCTAGTATTTTAACAACATAATCTTTGTCCTTTCCTGTGAAGAAACAAGCAATGTGGAGGAATAATTTTCTGTCATGGTCATCTTGTGAAGAGTCGTAGCTTACTCTTAGTTTATTTGTTATTTCACCATTTGGAATAGCTTCTAACTTCTCCAATGCACTTTTCCATACACCTATGCTTTCCCCCGACAAAGAAGAACCTAAAACTTGAAGAGATAATGGAAGCCCTCCGCTGTGGTGCACTAGCTTTTTTGAATATTCTACATAATCTTCAATGGGATGGTCTTGGCCAAAAGCGTGCCAACTGAAGAGCACCAATGAATCTTTGTAATTCAAAGTTTCAACAGCATGCACATGATCAACTTGATGAGCTTTTAACAATCTTGCACGCCTAATTGTTACAATGATTTTACTTCCTGGATAAAATCGATCTTTCATCCGAAGTACTGCATCTAATTGGTCCATGTGATCCACATCATCGAGAACAAGGAGAACCCTTCTAGAACTTATGGCATCTTCAATCCTAGTTATTCCTTCACTGAGATTGCTTATTTTCACTTTTCTCCCATTCAAAACATCAGAAAGAAGTTGTGTTTGTATTTGAACTAAGCCAGTAGGTTGTTTTGAAATTTCTTTGATATTTTCAAGGAAGCTGCTTCCTTCAAATCTTCTAAAGTTTGAATTATAAACAAACTTTGCAGTGGTTGTCTTTCCTATTCCACTAATACCATAAATTACAGCTATGCCGATATCAGTTGATCCATCTTGTAACCATAAGTTAAGTTTGTTGACTCGAGATTGCATCCCGATCATGATGTTGGGAACACTTAGGGGTGTGCGACTTAGTTTGTCTCCTATCACTTTAACAATTTTGTTGATGAACTTTGACTCGTGCCTATCAAAATGAAGGAGAATTCAAACATGTATGATGTCATATTCGTGAAGTGTCAACATGAGAAAAGTTACAGGATACAAATAATTAGTTTAGGGTTTAGGGCTTATTATATTTCAACCCTAAACCCTAAACTAACAAAAGATGGTAGATAGATAGTTAAAAGAAAACAAATTGTATAGTACATATTCTATTAAATTTTTGCCAGTAGTGCATACACGCTGATTGTGAATGGGAATGAATTTAATGACTAGTGATTGTATCGTAATTGTCAAAATGCTTTGAGTTTCTATGTTCTCCACTTTATTTAAGCTAAACTTTTCTTCTGGTAAAACGTATCCATCTTGGTCATTTTCAGCATACTTTCATTATATTGGGCATTATGAATTTAATATGCTTAGAGCCACAAGAGCTTGAGGGCTCCATTATTAGTATATGGGACGTCTATTGTTTGTTGTCGATTGGTCCATGATATATTAATAGGAGAGTCAATCTATAGTGAGAGTCTTATCTAAGGTCCTTAGATAATGTCTCATCTCTTAACCGTTAGATCAAACTAACCAATTTGATCCAACGGGTAACCAATTCTTTACAATTAAGAGATAATGCCTTCACTATAGGATTCTTAATTAATAGGAAAGATGTTGTGGGCTGGTAACTAGATAATAGGTGGACCCAATATCTATTATGTGGTGGGTTCTTATTATCTCGCTTGTACTGTTTCTACTTGTGTTTGATTAAGCCTTTACTTGATGGGTGGAAAAACCTAATTCATAATTTTCCATTTAAATATTTAACAGACTTACTAACAGTTTGGTTGAGTTTATAAATAGTCAATAAATGATGTATGAACTTGAAAAGTGTCTTGTAGTTTTGGGTGTAGATTTTAATACTATGTTAAAAAAATTTAAGTCCTTTGGCCTTTTTTTTAAAAAAAAAATTACAAAAAGGGGCATAATAAATATTCTACTATGTTTGAATGACAAAGAGGATTGTCTCAAATAATATTGTAGATATGCATAATACCTAAAATGCCCTGTTATTGCCAACAAGGTCTATTCTAGTGAAAAGGGCTTTGACTTGTAGATTAATGGTCTTAGGTTCGAACCTCATCGCTTGAATATAAATAATAATAAAACAAGATCAGTTATTCTCTCAAACTAATTAACAATCCAGACGGTAAGGTGTCCTACGTTGGAATCATTTTCCCTCTATTATTGCTTGTATCAACAAACAAAAATTCTATTTGAAGCCTAATAGCTAAAAAGAGATTGTATATGCAATGCAAATGCAATTGTATTAACATCAATATCCAAATTAAAGTAGAAAAGAGGAAATGAGACAACCAATTGGAAAAGAGATAATATACAATTATTATACTGTGTCCTTACTGTTTTATTTTATATTATTTTAATGATAGTATACTATGGTTGACCATTAAAAAAAAAAGCACTATGGAGTAGTAGGAAAGAAATTACCCAAGAGCTTGATTTTGTAAGACCATCCCTGCTAGATCTGCAACCTCTGCAAGTGCCTCCCTCCACACCTCCACCTTCTTCAGCGGTTGAGTTTTTTGGTGTCTAGCAAATGCCTTCGCAATATTCCCTTTCTGCTTCCTCACATGGGATGGATCCACATCGTAGAACACTGGTAAAATGACATGGTCAGCTGATTTCCTCTTACGTTCGAGGATCATCATGAGCTCATCAAGGCACCATGTGGACGACGCGTAGTCTTTCGAGAACACAATAACAGAAGTCCGTGAGTGTTTGATTGCTTTCTGCAATTCGCGCTTAATATGTTCTCCTCTCTCAAGCTCATCGTCATCACGGAAAGTGTGAAATCCTGCATTGACCAAGGCTGTGTAGAGGTGGTCGGTAAAAGTCTTGCGAGTGTCTTCACCTCTAAAACTCAGGAACACGTGATAACGACAATACCGAGAAGTATTAGAAGAAGAAGAGGTTTGTTCAGCAGCTCTCACAAGCGCCATAGATGGATGGAAACAAACGAACAAACAAACTTCCTGGGATTATGTAAACAAGCAGCTCATGAATTAATTACCAAATGAAAGGATAAGGTATCCGTTGACTTAAAAGCAATTGAACAAGGGGCGGCGAGAGTCTTCCGCACTTTTTAAAGCTAAACAATTAGCTAATTCTGCCACGAAGTTTACTTGAATTTGCAATTCTGCCACGAAATTTGCTTGGATTTACATCAGCGCCACTGAGTTTGCTTTAATTCACCATAAGTTTGTTTGGATTTGCAATTATGCCATGATGTTTGCTTGGATTTACATTAGCGCCACTGAGTTTGCTTTAATTCACCGTAGCGCCATTGAGTTTGCTTTAAATTCACAACGCCACTAAGTTGACTTGAATTTACAATAGCGCCACTAAGTTTGCTTGACATTATTTATCAGAAAAAATATTTTGCTTTGAATAGCAAGTCTGGCTTGTAAATAAAATAATTTCTTTTTCTTTTCGACGATATGATTTTGCTTGACTGGTATATTGTTTGCATGTATATATATATATATATATATATATATATATATATATATATAAAGCCAAGGCCAAGAGGAATTGATAAAATCACACAAGCCCCCCAAAGTCCCTCTTTAAGAACAAGTTCATGGCTGGGAACTTGAAAGTAGAACCGGTGTTGGCTAAGCCTAGCGGTGGTGGAGTCCTTATTGTGGTGTACGAATCATATGATCCTGAGTTCAGTGGCATGGGGGCAAGGGCGGATCTACACTCCAGCCCAGTGTTGAAGCCAAATATAGATAGAGTAAATAATAGTCTAGTCCTATATTTAAAATAAGCTCAACTCTCTATTTAGTAATAAGCCAACTCTTGAAGTCCTCCGCAGTGGTAGACTGCCATTTCTGAATATTCCAGGTAACCTTTAATGGGATGGCATAGGCCAAAAGCATACCATCTAAGTGCCTGACATTGCTTATTTTGGGTGATAAATGATTTTAAAAAAAATTTGTGAAGTCCAGCCCGTTTGATAAACTATAAGAAAATCACTTATTATTAAAAATTACTGTGAGAGAAAGCTATAAGTTAAAGCAGCTAATGATGTGTTTTCATTTTCTGATTTTGCGGGAATCAGTTTCGAAGAGGCGCTAGGTTTAATGATTATGCATGAATCATTTTCTGATTATGTGGAAATTAGTACCAACAACACTTTTAACACAAAGTTTACCAAACGTCAAACTGCTTTCTCTCACAACTGATTTCTCTCATAACAAATCTGACAGCATCACTTTTAACAAAAATTTCATAAACACACTGCCCTTTGCGGTGTCTACGAGAGGAGAGGTGTGAAAATTATATACTTACAGGATCCTTTGATTTTTTTCTGGCCTTCAAGGAGCCTTATGACATGAAAACGAACAGTTAAAAGTATGGGGTTTCACTAAAACACCCAAAATGGGGGGTTGAAATTATAAAAAAACCCAAGGACTATTTAAACATATAAACACACCCAAAACCCATCATTACACACACTCAAAACCCATTTATAAACACACCCAAAAAGTTGACTTTGGGGTTGATTTTGGGTGTGTTTCTATGTTTAAATAGTGCTTGGGTTTTTTTTATAAATACATGTCTAGGATTGAGTTTATTTATAAATTTGTATTAAAAGTAAAGCATCTCTCGTGCAAAAGAAAGGCATGTTGCCCGTCTTTTGATATTGTCTGTCTTTTGATAAAAGATGGCCTCATAATTTCTTCTGTAGAGCTTGACGAAAAGAACCGTCGGGAAAACCTTACCCTATACGCACATTATCCCTTTTTGACAACCCTTTGTTGATTATTTTATGGTGGCAGAATTATTTTCAGGCCCATTACCAAAGCAACCAATTTGACCAATATTTTGCACCATAGTTTGAGCAAAATTGTATAGTTCTCTAATTATGGAGGCAAATCATGCCCCTTATAACAAAATTGTATAGTTTCCTTTTTGAATTGAATAGTATTACTGACCAAGTATATATATGATATTTTCCAAGCAGAATGCTTAATTTTATGCTTGTCGTTATTGACACAAATCATCAATCTGCAACCAGAACAGAACGATTCCTATGGCATCACCAAAACGACATTGTTAAAAATGAACATATCATAATTTAACCTATGTTCATACAGCCCAGGATTCTGAACCCGAAAATAAAATTTGAAAACAAAACAAAAAAAAAGGAAGAGGAACATTGATATCCAAGCTTTTGATCATCCTGTTGCTGTTCGCTTAAAACCATATACAAATAACAGAAGAATTCCCAAATACAAGAGGAAATCTTTTGAAATGAAACACAAGTGTTTCAGGCATATTGCATTAACTATCAACAGCTTAGATTAAAATAAAAATACATCATGATGCTAATTTATCTGGGGTGTCATTGTTTTATATTCTCTCTTTTGTTCAGAAATAGTTGGAGTAAAATAAAATGTGTTAGTAAACAACACACCTGTATCTTCATCAGAGGCCCCAAAGAGATTATCGAACCAAATCAGATCTGTTATTGGTTTACATCTAGGGAAGAGCAAGTATGTTCCTGGCTCGTCTTGAGCCAAATCTCCATCAATGACGCTTGCATAAGAAGGATCCCTGGTGTCATGTTGCGTATTCATATTCTCTTCTTGCTCCTGCACTAGTAGCTGGATGCCACACTCCTTTACCTGAATCGGAGGTTCTCAAACAACCACTGTGTTGCCACCTTCTAGTGATTCTCCAACTTCCAATGGTTTAAACATATCATGTATTCTCTGTCATCTGGAATACCCTAAATTCTGAGTCATAGGGAAGTATGGGATTCTGGTTCACTAGTAGACTCGTGAATTGATCACATGCTTCAACCCTCAACTCACGAAGTTATCTTCAAATCCTCAGGAGAGATGGGGTTCTGTGGCCCATTCACTAATTTGAATGTCTTCAAGACTGGAAACAAAGCCCTTGTCTCCTTGCTCGTAACTACTACATCATATCCATAAAACTTAGCTGCCACACGTTTTAAAGTTGTCCATCTATTAATCTCAAGATGTCTGAAATTAAGTAGATGACTGAGAGTTGGCAACGACAAACTCATGATCATCGATGATGGAAACGTAGCAACCTTGAAATTATCCATCTCTAAAATTTCCAAATTAGGGTGCGGTTAAAGGCCTTCTGATACATTTTCCTCCTTGTCACTCCTTATAGACTATTTGGGTCCCTTACAAATCTTCAAATGTATGTATGTTTGTCTTTCCCACCAAATTTTCTTTCAATGCTCCTTCTTCATGTTGCACATATTACCCAACCCCTCCCATTACTGCAACTTTAGATAATATTTGGAGATTAGTTGGTCACCCCACACCAATGGGAAATCTCATATGTCCATCAAACTAAATGTGCCTCAAGTTGATCAAAGTTTTCAGTTTATTTGGAAACTCTTCAAGTGAGAAACAATATGTCATCCTCAATGTTTGTAGATTACAAATTTTTCCAATAGAATTGGAGAGTGCTTTGATATTGGTTCTAGAAACATCCAGATACCTCAAGTGTTTCAACTCACCAATTGAAATCTTTCATGAACATTGAGCAATATGCAAAACATTGTTTCAAAGATGGTTTGGTGACAATATTGGTGATCCCCTAAACGAAATTGAGTTTTGACAAACAACTCATCAAACTATTCCATTTTTTTTCACCTTCGATCCAAATGTCATCAAGAATGACGACATATCTTTTATTCGTCAGGTTCATTGTACACTAACCCATCCGAAATTGTCTTTCCTACACCACCCATTCCTACAATAACCAAAATACTTTCTCTACTGTTGGAGATAATCAAGGTTGCAATTATACTTGACACTTCCTCCTTTCTTCCAACGATGTATTCATCCTTACCAAAGAATGAGTTGCTTTCTATGTCCTCTATTGCTTGAAGGGTTGCATCTTTGTGTTTTTTCTTATCAACTAGTCCAGTGAAAGATGCCTCACTCACCGAAGATGTGTTCATAGACTTCATTCTAAGTTCCATTTTCTGACGAAACAAAGTGGGATCGGAGGCAGAAAGAAAGATTAGTACCTTTTTCTTTATATGGTTCTCCAATTCTACTTTATGCCGAAGAACTTCACAATTGATTTCATCCAACACATCTTCTCCATCAAAAGCTACGCCTTTAAGATTCTTCACCCACTGATCAAAACAGAGAGAGCCAAATTCTGAATTAGTACTCTGGGAATTTTCTGATCCTCTTAAACATGAATCTCTTCTAATTATGAGTAGATCTATAATAAGCAGGCACTAAGCTCAATAGAAATTAGGAATAACATATAAGCATAGATTCACTTCCACACAGGCTGTAAGGGCTTGGCCGAATAAATATAGATTGCTTACCGACTTACATGGCGTTGACCAAGGCTATGGAGCGGTGGTCGGTAAAAGTCTGGCAAGTATCTTCGCCTCTGAAACTCAAGAAGACATGATAATTACTACAACCATGAAAATTTGACGTAATATTTCCTCTCTCACTGATCGGTTGTTGGTTGCTCTGAGCTACCTGCAGGGTGGAGTGGTGATAGTGAGACTGACGGCGATTATCTTTCCATCTGCTCCAAGGTTCTGTATTTCTCTCTCTCTCTCTCTCTCTCGCTTTTTTGTGCTTTTTTCAGAGTTTAATCTTTGTTTCTCTGTTTGGGCTTTTGGCACCGACAATGTTTCCTTTTCTTTTGTCCGAGCACTGAGATATTCGAACGCAACTTTTTGGATTGAAATTTAAAAGTAAATAAATTTTTTATTAAAAAAAAAAAAAACCACTTACATCATTCGATCATTCAAATATTTAAATCAGAAATTGTGTTTTTTGTCATTCGATAAAATAAAAAAATTCTTAGCTTTCCAACTAATATTACAATACCTCTTTATTGGGAATGAGGTTTTCGAATTCGCTGGGACCTCTTTCAACATTGAGAAAGAAGTATCACTAGACTGCTCACTTTTTTTCCAACTCATACAACGAACGTTGAATTCTCTAATGGAACTACAAGAGGCACAACCTTGCGTTGTTGATTCATGGTTAGCTTGTAGTAGCATGACAATGGATTTATGGTTTTCCTCTTGTTGGCATCATGCTGCTTTTGTCGTTAACAAGTTTCACTTGGAAAGAACCTGTCTATTGCTCAAGCAACAAATAGAAATGGTGTACATACGCACTACATTTATCATACTACTATATTTATTCGGCCATTCAAATCAAGAATTTTCTTGCAGAGAAGAGAAAAAAGGGTAAAGGTTAAGAATTTTATGGAAGTAATTTGATTTACAAAGACCCTGTTGAGTTTCTTCAATTGGAAGCCTTGGTTTTTATGCTGAAAGATCTGTACTAGTTTCCCTTACGAAGGTTTTACTATTTATTTATATTGTCATCCTCAAATGACCAACTTCATTTCAATTCTTAACCCAACAAAATGCACACACACCAGACCCATCTTTTAAAGCCTTACGAATTTACAAATTACACTCGGATTTATGCATCTAAAAGATTTTGACCTTCTTCAAATATCTTGCAATCGCAATCATTACAAACAAGATTTACTGTATATTGCCAAATTTCCATGATCTGGTACATCATTTTTTCCAGGCAATCCAACTGCATGACTCACATTCATAAATTCGCTATGAAGCACTAAGGGTCAGCTGTTAACAGGAACTGATTATGTGGTGCTGAATGTAGAGACGGAAGACGGAGATCTGAATTTCCTGCTTCATCTTTCACTGTAAACTGAGGATAGAACATCTGTATTGGATTAGAAATAGGCTAAATAGTGGATATATACCAATAAAAGAGCAACTAAACTTATACATCCTCGGTAAGAAGTTTGGGGAGAGAGGGAGAGAGAGGACGACAATATCACTCTTCTTAAATCATGTTATATATGCTAGCAACATGTGACAGCCAAATGGAGACGTGGATAAAAAGAAAAAAGCATTAACGCAGGAAACTTACGCTGGCTGTGGAGCACCAGCTTGTTGTATCAGCTGAGAATATATGTACTCATCAACCCTCTGCTTTGCCAGTGCCACCTGGTACACAACCAAAGATTTTGTATGAATTAAAAGTCCATATATTGTAAATAAATAAATAAAATACCAGCATACTTGTTTCTCAACTAAGCAACCTGAGCCTTTCCAAATTACAAAGTTTGCATTTCACAAATTTATTTAACTTGTTGGTAGTGTTTTGAAATATGGAAGGTTAAAAAGATAACATTCAACCCAACACCACCCAACTGCAAGCACTCTCTTGGCAACAATTTATTAAATAATCTAAAGTGGAACTAGTTACTGAAAACGTCATTATTTCTGGACAAGAATTTGTATAAAATTTATTCTTTCAATTTTCTGTTTTCTTAATGATGGCCCTTAGATAAATGACAAACTACAATCCACCACGTAGTCTTCAGTCCATGCTACAGTGGCTTTAACACAACATTTTTTCCTGACTCAGTGATGGTTTTTACAACAAATTGGCAAGAAAGGTAAAAAAAAATATGGATAACCTGTTGTGCACTACCGCAAAACTGAATTTGCCTATGTTTTTGCGCACCTTTCCCACCATAAACCTACAAAACACAAAACCATATTAGCTACCATAAAACACAGTAATTCACAGGAAAAAACAAAAATTGAGAACTATAAATGAGAATAATCACTTTAAACCAGGGGCACTGCTTATAAATGCTTAACGATAAAACTCAGCCCACCTTGATCATTGCTCCAGACTCATTTCTGATCCTTTGAATGTTGGAGCCGCATCTACCAATCAACCCACCAACTAGTGTTTCCGATATCACCATCTCGAAGGTTATATATTCAGCTGCAAGATTGGTTGTCCTAAAGATGATGTGGTTATGAGACAAAAAATTAAAACTTGATAGAACCGAATAAGGTTGCGTTTGTAATGTTTAGTTATTTTTATATGGAAAGTGTGGAATAACCTGAAGTTGGGTCCATGTACGGTTGAACTTGAGGTGGTCGAATTGTTGTATAGTTATATGCTGGACTGATGGAAATCACTTGCCGGGGTGGGTTTTCTCTAAACAAAATTAAATTGATAGAAGGTCAAGCAAATTGACTTCAGAAAAGAAGAATGAGCAAGAATAGTTTGGAACACCATGTAAACAAGAATTTAATGTAACCTTAGTTGATCACCAATCTCTTCCAAAGCCTTCAGAACAGCAGGCACATCACCTGATACCTAATAATAACGTCAATTATCAGTCAACCTTGATAGAGAAAAAAATAGTAGAGCCAAAACTAAGTACAGGTTCTGTAAGATAAAGCCAAACCGTTAACAAAAAAATGTTTTTCAATCTTACATATCAAGATCAACCAACAATCTCAAATAACGAAAAGTACCACACATCACCATTTTGAATTCAAAATGCTGACAAACTCACCTGTACCACTCGATCAGATTCATGGGCAGATGCACACAAAGGCAACTGATTTGGGGCAAGAATTGTGATTGTGGCACCAGAGGAGTTCCGCAATTTCTCAATATTCTGGCCAGACATCCCAATTAATGAACCTGCTTGGGACCCAGCAATCAAAAGTCTAATGGTATTGGCAGCCACATGTCCTGCACCAACTTTTGCTGCCTCAGCACCACTATCATCTTCCTGTTAATAGCATACATTTAGAAATCATTCATTTCTTTATAAAATTCACAAACCCAAAATCACCTCTTAACCCTTTTAAGCTCAGAAACACAAGGACTCTAACAATCCAATTGAAACACATCAAATTCTAGCACTTAGTAGTTGTGATTATTTCTTTACATGGCGAAAACTACCTAAAATTAAGATGCTTCAAGATAACTAGCAGTTGGTGAAATAACTGAGGGGTCGTCTGTAGCAGCTTTTTGCAGACTCAACTTTCAGCACAAATAACCTCTATACAATATAATTGTGATTGTCAACCATTTCCTACTAACCCAATTTAAAAGAACATAAAACTGAAAACTTAATACTATCTGCAATTATACAAATGGTTTCAAGTGTACTATAAAAGATAACATCCAATTAAGTCATAAAATTACTACCAGGCAAGAAATTTGAACCCTGCAATTTCATAATATCAACCTGACCATAACAACCAAGAAAGCACAAAATAACACTATTGATCACCTTCAAAATCAACCCAGCTATTTGCTGCAGCGCCTTCTCGGCATCAGTACTCGCGTTATCACTATCCTTCGAACTTATTATAATCACACGCTCCTCGTGCCTCTGCAAAAAGGCAAAAAAAATTCAAAACCCAAAACAACAGTAAAAAAATTACGAAACCCTAAAGAAAAGAAATCGAGGAGAGAGTTACACACAGCGATGGCGTCGGCGATTTTGATATTGGCCTTGGTCTCTTCGCGAATCTTCTGGATTCGACACCCCTCTTTGCCTATGACCTTGCCGATCTGCCTCGACGGAACAACGATTCTGAAGATGACGTCTTGGGCCTTGGCGCGGCGCTTGGCCCCGGGTTCCTGGGGCTCCGGCCCGGCCAACACCAGAGGATACTCGTCCTCTCGGCGGCGCTTCAGGGCCGCTGATTGGGCGGGTTCGGATCCGGGTATGGGTATTAGGGTGGTGGGTGGCATTTGGATTTGGGGGTGTATGGGCAGTTGGCCTGGTTGCGCCATTTTGGTTTGTGTTTGTGTTTCTGTTTGTGTTTCTGTTTTTTTTGGGTTATGTTTTGTTTTGGTCGGCGGAAATAAAATTGATCGTGAAAGGGATGTTAGCCGTCTAGGCTGAAAGGGTTTTGTAGTACAAGTAAAATTACATGTTTGGCCCTTTGGTTTTTGTTATATACCTTCTCACCTTACCAGAACTCCTCAGTCAGGACTGGTCAGTCTTGTCTTTTTGCTGGGTAGTTATCGGTATGATTAAACTCATATATAAATATGAGGTACACTGCTCTTCATTCAACTCATTCCATTGGAACAGTTATTCAAATTTGATTGCAGTGACACCGATTAGGATACTAGATTGCCTACGTCTTCTTTGTGAAATTAAAACGGGCGTAGTTCACTGGTTGAGTTTGTGTGGCCTTGATTTGGATTTAAAGGATGTTTTTTTTATTTGAACGCGTTTAGAATTTATGAATTTGATAATTTTGAACCAATCATTTGCCATCAAATAAACCCTAATTAATCGGATACAGTCATCAACAAAAAGTAACGACGCACTTCTTTCCATTAGTAGCAAACTTAGCAGGACTTTTAGCAAAGACACAAGATTCACACCGAATGTTGATGCATCACAATGAGTAAACAATGAAGGAGACAAATGTTTTAGATATCCAAGTTTACACAAATGGATTGTAAACAAAGTTTCTCTTGCTTTTCATGCAGTAATAAATCCCTTATTTGAACTTATTTTTATATGAATATGCAGGAAAAAGTTTAGCAGTTGCCCCTAAATTGATGACCTTCTTTCGATTTGCCCCCTTTGGCTTGCTAAAAATTTCCAATATATATCAATTGATTTATTTGTCTTAAGATTTATTTTTCAAGATTGAGCTTGGGGTGAGTTTATTTGAAATCATATTTTCATAAAAGTGTATCACATTGAGTTTGGATTGAACTCTCAATTTATCTAAACAACCACTTGAATTATAAGTTATTTACCACGCAGTAATATTAATATCAATAAAATAAAATAAAAAGTTTCCATGTGATTAGATTAGGGCTTCGAGAGAAAATGTAGGAAGGAAGGGAATGAGACAAATTAGAAATGTGAGGTAAGAAATCCTTGGAGTTGGCTTATGTATTGAATGAGGGTGGGGTAATGTGTTAGGATTAGAATGAGTGTACGCATCGACTTTTTAGTGACAAAGAAAACACTGCCCTTCTATTAAAAAAAAGAAAAATTTGTTTATTCTATCTCAAAAAGTAATTTTACTTCTTATTGTTATTTTCTTGGTCCAAAAAAGCAAAAGAAGCTTACATTTGAAGGCAGACAGGCGAGAGTAATTTTTTTTTTTTTTTTTTTTTTTTTGTTTGTGGCAAATTTTAACCCAAATAAAAATGTGTGGTTTATGAAAGCTGTTTTCTTATGTTTCTCCCATAAAACTCATATTTTCTGAAAAAACCCTTTGAACATGTCCCTCCCCAAATCTCTCTACACCCTCCTTTCCCATCACTTCTCCACTGCCACCAAAACCACAACAAGGCTCCCTAAACTCTCCAATGTCCCCCACAAGTACAAGTCCGAAGCCGTCGAGCGAGCCCAGAAGGTCCTCACCGACTACCTCCACGCCACCAGGGGCTTCTCCTTCCCATCCGCCGAGCACATTAGCAAGAACTGCCGCTTCTCCCTCACCAATATCATCAAAAGGGTCGATTTTTCGGCCCCGAGTTTCACAAATCGCATCCAGAGATTCCTCAGGTACCACCCCATCAATGAATTTGAGTTTTTCTTTGAAAGCATTGGCATAGATTACAGTCAAGTTTGTCACTTTGTGCCTCCCAACAAGTACTTCCTCTCTGAAGATGGGACTGTTTTGGATGCTGCTTGTGAACTTTCTGCATTTGGGTTTCCTTGGAATATGTTAGGGAAGTTGTATGAAGAGGAGCTTTCTATTTTTAGAGAGAGTTCAAAGGTGTTAAAAGCTAGGCTTAGTAGGTTTAAGGAATATGGATTTGGTAATCATTCAGTTGTGGGTATGTGCCTGGCTTTCCCGTATTTGTTGAGCCTGGAGGGTGATCTGGGTGGTGATATTGTGGCATTGTTTGATGATTTGAAAAGGGTTTTTCTGGAGTTTGATATTGAAAATTTTGCTGAGGCAAATGTGGAGTCTTGGTATGAGGTCTGTAAGAAAGTTCGGGTGTTTTACGATTTGGGTGGTGAGAATGGGAAGATAGGGGAATTTCTGGGTAGGAGGAAAGATGTTTTTCTTGAATGCCCAGCAGAGGTTTTGTTCCAGAAAGCAAAGTACTTTTGTAAGTTTGGTGTTAGGAAGGAGGATGTAGGTTTGTTGCTTCTTCAAAGTCCAGAGATTTTAAACCTTGATCTGGAAACACCAGTGATATCAGCATTGGGATTGTTGAAACATTTTGGATTGGACACTCAAGAATTAGAGGCTGCGAGTGAAAAATACCCTCATGCGATGGGAAGAAATAAAATGGCAAATTTACCACATCTAGTGAGGGCTCTGGATCTTCATGAATGGTTCTTCACTAAGATTAAGAATGAACATCAATTGTTAGCTAATTATGTTATCAGTGATTTTGATGAAGACACTGCAAAAGAATTTAGTGATGGATTGGAGAGGATCCAATCTTCGGCAACACCCATTCATACAATGACAAAATTGAATTTCTTGCATGGCATTGGGTTTGGAGAGAACCCTTTGACTCTACTGGTCTTAGCCCGTTTGCATGGCAGAAGCAGTGAGCTACAAAAGCGGTTTGATAGCCTTCTTTCTACAGGCATTGAATTCTCAAAGCTTTGTTTGATGATAAGAACAGCACCCAAGATCCTGAATCAGAGCCCAGAATCTCTAGAAGCGAAAGTAAAATTTATTAGTGAGGAAATGAAACCTTCTTTGGAGTACCTCAATATTTTTCCAGCATTTTTGTGTTTTGACTTAGAGAACCGGATCAAGCCCAGATATAGATTTTATGTTTGGCTCAAAGAGAAGGGATTGTATTCTAAAAGCTACTCTATAGCCAGCATAATTGCTACTAGTGAAAAGCAATTTGTAGCGCGGGCTTTTGGAATTCACCCAGCTGCTCCAAAACATTGGTTTGAGAGTTTCTCATACAGAAAATCTTTAAATACTTGTCTGGAGACATCTCTCACATAGACTACAGCTTCTTGTATAAATGAACTACGTATAATATGATTATTACCTGTGGATTTGGCCTTCCAACATGGTAATGATAAGGATACCATTAGGAAATTGTCAAGATTTAACCTTCTGTGATTGTTCCATTGTGAGAGACTTGTAGATGTTTATCTGATTTTCAAGTAATGATAACATGAGATAGTTTCTGGTTCTCAGCCACTGTGCTGGTGTTGATAGTTTCTGGTTGTCAGCCACTGTGCTGGTGTTTGACCTTTTTCTTATCATAATCCTTAACTTATAATCTTAATGTAGAGGAGCAAGCGAAGTGATAATGATTCATATTATTGAAAGTAAGTTTTGTTTTGTGCCTTCTAAATATTATCATTGCCATGTGATTCTTGTTACATGCTTTACTTATGTGTCTAGATTTCTTGATATGTTTATCAAATTCAGCAGCATGATTTCATTTCTTGTTTCAAGTCATGCATTTGGGCATATGCCAAAACCCTATTTTCTCAGTGCAAACCTCAAGAAATTCTCATAAAATTAGTGTGGCAATTGGAATTGAATCTATATCGTTGAAACAAAGTGTTGTTTGTTCGTTGTACACATGTGTTCTGTTACTATTCCTGTTGAATTACTGCTTGATGTAGTCTCAGGTATTTCTAGAAAAGTGATTTTTTAAGCACATGTACACCTCTTTATCCATTCTGAAACTTGGAAAGGGGTTTTGCTTATCCATGCTGCATTTGTCTTCTCTTTTGTGTTCCATTCCCATTATTTCCAATTCAGTGTATTTTGTTCACAATGTGTTTTCAGCACCAGCCACCAGCTGGAGGATGAAGCTTTTGTTGAACATTTGTATGTCACTATTAATGGAACAGGGCTACAATGTTTGAGGTCAGCCTCCATGGGAGTCGTTCAAGCCAAGCCGGGAAGGAGAAAGAAGCTTTAGTAGGTGGTCGAAGCTTATGGCTGTCTTTGATCAATGGTCTTTGTTTAATTTTAAAAGCCTTATGCTTGCTTATTTGAAGCGCAGTTTCCATATTCTTTAAAGTTAAACTTAGACCACAGTAGTCAGGAAATAGAGGACCCCTTCTAGAGGGGAAAACTGAGGCTATTGGAGAGTGGAAGGCCTTCCTGTTGGCAGAAGCTCGGAACTGGTCCGCTCTCCTCATCGAATTTATTCATGTTCCAGTATGGCGATCAATTAACAGGGTTCCCTTTGAGGAGGCTGGAAGGTGTTAATATTGGAACACAAGCCAGCATGAACATACATCTTGTACAATATGATGATTACTTGCTATTCTTAGAGCATCTCCAACTGATGTGTCAAAAGTGTTACATAGACATTTAATGGCTAGAAATAACATCTTACATCACTTCAACCGATGTGTCAAAGTTGATGTGGAATGAAGACTGGAGGTTGAGATGTTATTTTTGACATCCCAAAAGCAAGATGTCAAATGAATATTTTATTATTATTATTATATTATTATTTAAATTAAAAATAAATCAACACTAAAATGTAATAAAATAATAATTTAATTTGACATATCGAGTGGAGTGTAAAGCTGTGTAAGATGTCAAATTGTCACATCCGTCATCAAATTTAAATTTGATGTTTGGTATTTGACATCTCCCTTGGATATGCTCTTAGAACAGTCAACTAGCTTATTTTGTACAATGTCTCTGCTCACTCAACTCAAAACACTTATAGCATGTTTACTAATCCGTAATTGGATTAGGAGGAATTGAATTGAGAATGAATTGAATTGAGGAGGAGTTGGATTGAGGAGAATTAGATTCCGGATTCCTAATGAAGTCGTTTACTAAACCATATGGATTGAGGGGAGTTAGATTCCGAATTCCTTTTGAAGTTATTTACTAAACCATATGGAATTGGGATATGTGTGGTATTAATTACTAAAATGTCCTCATTTTTGGGTTAAAGTAGATGACATATTTGGAATTTTGAAAATTGTGTGAGGATATAATGGGTAAAAAAGATGAATTCCTAATGGGTGAATTCTCTAGGAATTAGAATATCACCTCCCATTCTGAAATTGAATTCCTCTAAAATGAGGAATTCAATTCCGGATTTTGTGTGGGCCCCGCTTACTTTTCAATTACTTGATGTAAAGTAAACGAATTAATTCTCCATAAGCGGAATTCAATTTTTGATGAGAATTCCAATTCCTGATTAGTAAACACATCATTAATCAAGCAAAAAAGTTTGAAAGTAGGGGAAGAGAGGAATCTAAAGAAGACAAGAAGATTTGGGCCTGTTAACTTTGGAGGGCTCTACATATAGGAAAAAAATAAAAAAAAACAAATATACAAGTATAAGAACATGATTTAATTTTCTGACCAAAAAAAGACATTATTCAATTTTAAACTTGTCCAGTAATTGAATAAGAAAAGTTACTGATTTACATATACAACATAGATTACCCATAAATGTCTAGTTCCCAGCAATCCTGTTCTTCATGTTGCCTTTAAAAAATAATAATAATAATAATAAATCAAGAACATATTACTTTATTGGTAGGTCTTGTTGATAGTACCCAAACCCAATCTTGCAATAGAGAAGTGTCCTGTTACACCAAATTATGTATAAAGTTACAAGGAGTTAAATAGGTCTCTTTTGGGTTTTGGATCCTAATACAAAACTAGTTAGGGCTTGACGCCTTACAAGATGCAATAGAATCTATGTTAGGCAGGGGATGGATTAGATGACAATTGCTCTAATGGAAAAGAGGTTGCTGATGTTGGAATGGTGAGAAAATTTCTCAACCTAGATTTTTCTTTCTTAAAAAAGAAGAAATGACACTATAATACTGATGTGGTAAGCCAGTGTTATTCGCCGAATTTCGAACTATTTTCCTTTTAGGTCCCCTCAAAAATGAACAAAATACAAGTTATGTTCTTTGGTTATGTGATTGTGGTCAAATAGGCGAATTCATTATTCCTTATAAATACTAAAATAATAATTATTTTTGGCCGAAAATACTAAAATAATTACATACTATAATATTATTTTAGAAACTAACTTTTGCAGAGATGATTCTTAAGTCCTCTACCCATTGTTTTGGTGATGATATTGAGCTTAGCCTCAGACTTTGTCATTCAAGACTTCCATTCAATTATTATATTTTCATGTAAATTTCTAACACTAAACCCAAAGACAAAAAATTCAGTAGAAAAATCCAATTTCTTTATAATTTTTGAGATCATAGGTGGTGGGTCCCAAACATAGAAGGCAACTCTTCTCTTGAAATGGATATTTTTGACTTCATAAAGAAGTATTTTAGGTACTTTGTTTTAGGTCCTTGAAGGGGACGAATCTAAAATAAAGCCCCACCGAAAAAGACAGATTAGCAAAACCGTGAAATAGAAACAAAAATAACGGTTCCAGGTGGACCCATCGCAGGGCCCACATTTTGTCACCTCATCTCTGCATGGTGTCCACGAGTCATATCCCTTCAAGCAGTCAAACGTAATATTTTTCCTTTTTTTTAAATTAATTTTTTTCCCAAACAAAAAAAAAAGAGGCTTCCATTTTAACTTTTATTAACAAAAAGAAAAAAAAGTTCGTTAATTTTTCCATCTCGGATAAGAAGAAAAGGATTTGGACGTCTTTTTACCATTTCCTTATATGCAATGAACAACTTGGTCCAAAGTGTTCCCCCAAAAAAGAATTGTACAAAATTTAACATGACAATACATAATTGGTGCAAAAACCATCTAGATTCTGAAATTAATTGCTATACCTAATTTTTCCAGACGAGAAATTGAATGAGGAGACAAAAATTTGAATATAAAGGGCAATGTGATATTTAACTTTATTTTTTATTTTCATTTGATCTTTAATTTTCCCAGATTTCGTCCCCAAAAAAATTACATTTCACTAACACAAAAACTTTCTATAAATATTTTAAAATGTAAGGAATAATAACCATTAGCAATGTAAAATTTTGAGGGTAATTTTCTTTTTCTTGTGATTAACAATAATTAAACACCTATCCTCGACTAGGGTTTAGAATTGAGAAGCCTTAGAAATAACTTTATTGTTAACCTATATTTTTTTTCTTCATGAATGTGCTTATAAATTTTTAATTATTGATACTACACAGTAAATTTAATTTAAGCATGATTAAATAAGTGCTTATTGTTGAATTACCGGCTTACCAAGTTAATCTCAACGACCTAGTAACTTACTAATGAATATCAGGGTTAGAAGTGCATCCGAAATTATGTTTAACCACATTGTACATATGGAAGGACTTTCAAAAAACTCGGCGGAGTGCATATGATTTCTTTTAATACGGAATATACGAAGAATCATGTATTTCTAGTTCTGCACTTACTCCATCTCTCTTTCAGTTTAACTCTTCATTTTTCAATTCCCAACTAACTTCCCCCTATCTCTATTCAAGTATATTTGTTCCTTTTTATTTTACAAATAATATTTGTATAGTTTCATATAAAACAACAACAGTTAAAGAAACAGGGGATTGAAAAAAAAAGGTAGAAGGTAAAAACATGTTTATGTTTTTTTTCATTCGTGAAAAAAAAAGGTCAATTTGGTGATGCAAAATACAAGAAAATGAGAGGGGCATTATGGGCACAAGACACAAAAGAACAAACAAGAAACAATGTATGCTTCTTCCAGAAACAGTAGGATCATAACTGCCCTTCCTCTCTCTCAAACCAGGCACTCTCCCTCTTCCCCAAGCCACTCCTCTTTTTCTCTGTCAATCTATAAATTGTCTCGATGCCAAAACCACTGAAACCCCACCACTGCAAGCACCTTCTTTGATTCTACTCAGTCTCAGTAGGCAGTGCAAGCCAACCCATCTTCATGGTGTTCAATTCAGTCTCTTCCCAACCCGAAACCATACCCGAGCCCGACCCGAAACCAGATTCCATGGCCTCCACTGTGCCTTCCAAGTCTCTTGTCCACCAAGCCCAAAACCATGGCCTCCCTTTGCCCCAGTTGAAATGGGCCATGAGCAACAACACCACCACCACCAAAAGCAACGAAAACAACAAGACCAGCACGAAAAGCAGCGGAAATAACAACCCTTCTCTGCAACTGAGCAGCAACACCAAACTCGCACAGCTTGACCCGGTAGCTAAGCAGCCCGAGCCCAAGTCCTCCAATGTCGAAAAAGAAGCCGACCCAATTCCCGCCACGGAAGTGATCGACGGCCCGGAGACACAGAAGCCAAAATCGACTGCTGAGGATAAGAAATCGAAGATTTGCATCCGGATTCGGAGCAAAGAAAAGGCTGCTGTGGTGCCTGAGCCTGAACCTGAACCTGAACCGGAAAATGAAAAAGAGAGCTCTGTTGCTGCTGCTTTAGCAGCGCTGGAGGATGAAGAGACGATTCAGAAGACTTGGAATCTCAGGCCCAGGAGACCGGTGCCTAACGCCAATGGTCGTGCTGGTGCATTGAAGACTGGTGCACCGCTGGTGCAGCAGAACAAAACGGAGGTGGCTGGGGGCTCTTCTAAAGCTGGAGGCAAAGGTGCTCAAAAGAAGGACAATAAACTGAATATATTGGTTTCTTTAACAAAAGAAGAGATTGAGGAGGACATTTTTATTATGACTGGAGCCAGGCCATCCAGGCGCCCAAAGAAGAGAGCTAAGAATGTGCAGAAACAGCTTGACGTCTGTATTGTTGAATTTAATTTGAGTTTTTTCATATTTTTTTATAATTTTTTTATAGCTGGGGTTGGTTAATTTTAAAACGTTTTTGAGGTTTTGGGAATGGTTCTGTGTGATTATGTCTTTTGGGGTCATTAGGGTTTCGAATTGCTTGGTATTTGATGTGGTTTTATTTGTTTTGCAGCATCTGTTTCCCGGGTTGTGGCTGAATTCAGTATCTACCAATTCCTACCAGGTTCCTGAAACTCCATTGAAGGTGAAATCTTATGAATCCTTTGGTTTGTTTTCAGTAGATTAATTTGCTTTATTTTTGTGTAATGTGCAAAACATATATTAATCTTAATTGGTTGCTGTTTGACTTGGTATGTGAAACAGAGAATTTGAATATGCTGCTTTCAGGATTAGATGGGATGAGGCTGCTTTTAGTTAAATGTTTGGCGGCGATTTTGAAGACTTGTGAACTGCTCTAAACATTTTGAACACAGAAGGTATAACAATGATAGATCTGAGAAGGTGAAAGGATAATACAGATGTATCATGTTTTTGTCTTTTCGTAAGAAGGTCAATGAATAGTCGGAAGAGCTGTACCATTTTAGCTGTTATGAGTAGTTGCAGATGTACATAGGGGTTATCAGTTATCAGTTATCGGCTTCAAGTTGGATGAATAAAGCATAATAACAAAATCAAATTTAGATGTTGTCTTTTTCCTTGAATTGGAAATGGTTTAATGCAGTTTCTTTTTTCATGCTAGTTCACAAGATATTGTTTGTTGCTAGTTGAGGCGATCGGGATTTATATCGTAGACCAAAATTGGAATGCACACGTGTTTTTTATTTATATGCATGTCGCCTTTATGCTCTTTCTTAATCAACACTTGTTGAGCAGCAAAGTTTTGTGTGCTAACTGTTACTTGATTTGAATGACGTGTTATACTCCTAGCGAGCACACACTTCTCTTTCCTATTAGAGGTGTCCATGCACCACACACCATGCACACGTAATTTTTTTTCTGATTACTAGAAAGTATAGGCACTCAAAGAAGAAAAGGAGAACTCAAAGTGGGGGAGGAGGATGGGGTTGATCTTGTAGGAATTAGATTGGAAACAGAAGTGCAGAGGGGAGAAAGACAGAAATGCAGGGTAGATGTGAGATAAGATGTTGGAGATTCTAAATTCAAGCTAGTATGCAGTATTTTTCATCTGCTTGTATCCGGATATATAATTTCATTGATAGAAAATAAGCAGTACTGAGATTAGAAGAGGTTTCTGCTTAGAATTATGGAGATTGTGGTTTAAGTGTATGCAGTGCAGTGTTTACCTTTTTGTTTGTACTTCAAGGGTGTGACTATACTCGTGCTATGCATAGTTTCAGCTTAACTAAACACATAAACGTTGATGAGCTATACACTCTTAAATGGGTTGATAACCGTACACAAGTCATTATTGGTAATGGTGAAAGATATCGACACTGAAACTGAGACATAAGGAAGCTGGGCAGTTCAAGAAAGCTCACCTTAATTAATGAATAACTCTATACGAGCGCTTGGACACACACATATACACACACAAATGAAAAGTAGAGGGTGGGAGTGTGGATGTTCAACTAAACAAAACAAATAGAGGGATGGAGATGTGTTATTGGGGGAAATTAGATCCTAGAATTGAAGACGCAATTGGAGTTGTGAATGGTATATATGAGATGAGTTGTTCCTGGTTGAGACTCAAGTTGAATCCATAAAGCTCTATCGTTTCTGACATCTCGTCTTGTAATGCAAGTGATTAAATGGTTTTAAGAGTATTGTGCTAAATTGGAAAAATGTTTTGTTCTGTAGTCATTACATGGTTATTGATTTTTAATAGCCCTCTTGAAGAACAGCTACTTAATTGCTTGAATATTGATTCAACAGTCGAGATTTTTTTAGCACTTCTATTACAAGAAGATTTTGTTCAGGATTATTTTATTTGAAGCTAGTGGTTTTATATCACAAGGTGGTTGCTTTTCATTTTTACTTGAATTGTGCTTGAGTTTCATGCACTGCATTAGCAGTCTCTCAAGCTTGCAGAATGTGCATCTCAAAGTAACTAATGAAAGCATTTTTTTAAACTTACCCCTTTAGTAAAAGGAGTAATTGGATGCCTTTTGTTTGAATTACTGTAAGTTGACATGCCCATGGTTTCGAAGCAGTTAAGAAGCGTTAGTTTCATGTAAGGATATATATGAATATCCTGTTGAGATGACATCCAAATTTTCGTTGTGACAAGTTTTCTTTTTCCGTATCACAATGTCAGATCTAACATTTCCTTGGGTGGCAAGTGCATCCTTGAGATTCCTGATATTTTATGTACCTATGAGCTTCATACACCCTACTTTAAATTTAGGTCATTCTCATTATCCTACTGGAAAAATAAAAATATCCTACCTTCTGTACTTGTGTCTAGCATTAGACCTATCTTCAGAATCCAGGAGTAGTAACACGTAGATCTCTCTCTCTCTCTCTCTCTCTCTATATATATATATATATATATATATATATTTCTTCAAGAAGATAATTGTTTTGTTAATAATGTTACAAGAACTAAAAGAGCAAGTGGCCTTAAATCTGCTCTGTGGCTGAATATTTTCTGGAGCTGCAACCATGGTCAGTGATAGCTTCAGACGCAAATTGGTTATGATTCTTTCATCAGTCATCTGATTTCTCTATTCATGTCTGTAGTCCTCCATGGCAACGTCTTCATTTACGTTTGATATGTGCTAGCTTTGCAGACAGTTAAAATGAAGTGCATCTATTTTATTTTATTTTTTACATTGTATTGCTTAGATTTGGGTCCTTCTGGACTTAAATCGCCTTGTGTGTTAAATATCAAATTAAGTGCATAATTGCATTCTAGTGTTTTTGAAAGTTTCAAACTGTTGGTGTGTCAAATTAGTCTTGGTACTGTGGATCACTAATTCGTTTTCGGAGTCATAAAGTCACCGAAGACCATAAATTCTGGTTTTTCGGTCTGATAATTCATGTAGCTGTAGTGTTTCAAGCATATTCTTGTATGCACGTTCAATGTTCTATTTTTTGGGGATCAAGTTCTAATTCAGCTCTTGGTTTAGACTAGAGAAACAAAAAATCTAAATTTGGCAATTAATGTATGTACAGAAAAGTAAGCAGCAGCTGCCCTATAAGGAGCCATACATGCCTCAGTGGGTTGATGCTTATGTTTTCTCACTGAAGCTTCACCTTCTTTTTGACCTTACAGATTGAGCGTACTGCATTGTAAACGTGCTTGCACAATCCTCAGGGTGCATCTGGGCTTGCTTCCTATGAAGAACTGACCTAGCTACCCAATGTGGGTTTCTCCCTCCAAAGGCTGCATCAGAGCCAGACACCTGTAACTTCATGGGGGAGGCAACCCTGGCATCCACAATTTGGAGGTTAATGGTAATAAGGAATACACAGACACATTTAAAATGTATCATTACTTGATTACAGCATGCATAACACTTTTTTGGTTGCATATTTTGTCAAAGGACCTGCCTGCAAACATGTTTATTTAGATGTTTTCTTGGAAATAATGTTTGATTGGTCACATGCCTATCATGCCATTAAACCGCCCACAGAATCATTGTTATCAAACTTTTTCTTGGAAATTTCTGATGGCATGGTTGTTTGTTCAATTACATCCTTTTGCTACATATTATTCAAAATTTTATCCTGTAATGAAAGCTTTATTTAGATCCTCTTAATTAAGGGCAATCACAAATTTTCTATTTGTCAATTTTGTCCTAGTTTCAATCTGAATAATGTCAACCATGCAATTTGTGTAAATACTATTAACCTAATTGCTCAAAAAGAAAAAGTAAAACCTCCACGTGTCTGCAATGTAATCGTAGTTTGACATAACATTTATGCTTAGGTCATCCCTTCTAGAACCAGTGCCATGACCATGTGAGCAGCTTGTGGCTACTACCATCATCTAAAAGAATTTTTGTCTTATTCAACATGTATACTTTTGTTTTTACTGAGTATTTTTTTAAGTTGCTACACTTGTACTACGTGAACAAGGTAGATGACAAAATTGCTACACTTGTTTTTGATTGAATATATATTCTTCTGTTCATAATGGTTTACAAAATAGATGAACAACTTTAGTACAAATTGAAAACTAAATAGGTCAGTTTGATATAAATTGAAGATTACAAGTTCATATTGCTCCAAATGAAAATTAGGCATACCAACTTAAACCTTGTAGGCTGGAAACAGTACCCGCCCTCTTTGCTGTAGTTATTTGGTTCACAATAAATGGCTAGTTGGAAACCTTCCTTGTGAGGCTGTAATTGTAATTATGTTTCCATAGTTACATCTAACAACTGGTAATGAGGTGGATTGGGGGATTTTATGATTTTAATCATTATTTTATTATTGGGATAGCAGTTTTCAAATTTTAATATTCACATTTCCATATTTTAAGGATTTGTGTTTGTTTCCGGTTGACATCCAATGTCATGGATTGGTATAGATAGAAATATGTCATTTAAGCGGGAAAGTGTGTAATTTTTTTGAGCTGGTGTTTGATCTGGCGATTATGGAAGATATGAAGTAAGGTACTGTTGAATGGTAGTCTTTCTTTCTCTTTTTATTATTTATTATATTTTAATAAGTCTGTTAATAGTAGTCTTACTGTTACTGACCCTGAAGAGTTGTTTCTGTGCATGGTAAAGACGCTATAAGGCAGTATAACATTTAGAATCCAGTTCAAGGGGTTTCTGCTGAGTGAGTTGAGCTGGAGCTGTCTGAGTTTGAGGATTGCTGATGTTAACGTGCAATGCTGCATGGTGTGAGCAATCAGAGGCAATAGCGATCGGGTGGGTGTGTGTGTGGAGATGATATTTGAGCTTTACTATTGTCAGGCTGTGTGCAATACTGTATAAGTTTCATTGCAGAGGCTGTGACAGTTTGGAGAGGGCTGGCGGAAGATTGAGGTCGAGTCCATTGTAACGTTCTCATAGACGTCTGGAGCGGTCTGCGTATGGATGCCCAGTTGGAATTCAGAGTGTATGAAAAAGAGCATCTTTAACGAAATTGCTCATAGGCGTAATAAAGTTGTTCATGATGTAGCGGTAAAAATATTGTAAGCTCCTGGGTGGATTGTAAATCCTCCTTACTGGCTGGTTAATGCCTCGATTGAAGCTTGAAATTGTACCAAAGCCTTCATATATTTCCGTATTTAATGAACTCCTATAGGTTTGCCATTAGAAAAAAGCAAGAGAATTTTATAAGAGGTCGAGTTAGATAAACTAGCTCTTAGTTTCATGGCAGTTTTCTTCTTAATGTTAAAAAGAGATCCCAAGTATATCCAATCTCTTGTTGATTGTAAAAAGGGTAAGCTGCTATTTGAACGAAATTTATTTTGAACTATATACAATCCAAGGTACAAAAATTGAAGCAAAGCAAATGGTGTCAGTGGCCCTCTGAAAAATAT